GCACTCATGTATGAGCATTCTCATACATTCTTACACTCATCTCATTTGTATACCAGACACATAAACAGTACAACTGAGCAACAGTAGTGCTGTGCAAAGACCACCCTTCATGTGTTTAATTTCCAGTCAAAACTGCCATTAAGCACAAGTTATTTATTTTTTTTAATGAAGTATTTCTGAGGAGATAGGAAAATAAATTGCTATACCTAAAGACTGTATCTTTGACTGTGTCTTCAACTGTGACAAAATAACTCAATGCTGTGGGTCTGAAAAGATGTTTAGCTGTCAATAAGCCCTTACTGAGAAATGCAAATAGACAAAAAAATTAAACAAAGAAGCTGCTGGTGTTCTGGAAGCACGTGTTCTGAACAATGTACAGTCCACTCCAGAGTCCAGACCTCAGCATCTCAATGTATTTGGGATGACTTGCATTGTGAGAAACAGAAAGTGCAACCATCTTCTAAGACTGAACTTTAGAGGTATGGAAAAACATCCCTGCAGATTTCTTTGAAAAACTGGACACAATTGTCCCAAAAAATAACTTTTTATTAAGTATATTTTTTCTGTTTTTTCCTCATGCTGACAAATGAATAACTGGCTGTTTTGAATGAAAATTAAATAAAGAAGGGTGGTCTCTAACTTTGGCCCAGTGCTGTAAAACAAAGCTTAGAGATACGACTATAATGAAGATATAAAGGGAAACTGGACATCTGTCCGTCTTAATTTTACCTGTCTTATGACAATAAACTGGTCCTGGCTGTCGATAACACATGGGATTCTTAGGGTTCAAACCTGAAACCCAGCAGTAGACCAAACCTCTGCACTGACAAGGTGAAAATACAATGCATTTTGTTCAGAGTTAGAGTCAGAGGTTGCTGCTTGAGGTCAGTAGCTTTGTGTGTCTGACTAGCCATAAGGACTGTCTGATAAGGACAGGTATCATTTTGATGTGAATGCTTTTAAAAAAATGCCCAGTAGATACATCTGATGGAGTACAGCTAATATTGTTCATTCTGTCCACAGCCTTGCAGCTCTAATATATATCAACACTTTATTTAGCTTGCTTTACATTTTAGTTTATTTGTTAGTATTTAGTATGTACATCAACATTTTATTTAGCTTTGATGCAAAAATCTCACTCTTCATTCATCTTCGTGTGATGGATGAAAGACGTTTGGTTTAGAAAGCCTTTACTGAACTTTTACTGCTCTGTAAATAGTTCAGGACTGGACAGCTGCTAGCTTCCCTTAGTGACACTTCCATGTTTAACTCAGGCCGTAAAACGAAGCTAAGGTTAAGGGCATGTCAGCAAAAGCAGCAAATGTGAGAAGAGGGAGGGGTGAAAAAGTCTTTTTGAGGTCATTTAACCTCAGTGGCCAGTGACATCATCACACATGTTAAACACACTAGTGCGTGAGAAGATGTCAATCACTGGGTTTGCCTCTCAAGTCGGATTTATGGAAGACTTTACGGCTTGCGGTGTACGCTCGTGTCCTCTCATCATCATCGAAGCTGCTTTAATCAGGGCGCCAGTAACGTGTGTGGTCAGTGATGCCAACGTGCTCAGCTCAGTCTGCAGTGTGTGGTGTGGGTAGGATGGGCTTTATTGTGAGCTTTATTAGTGTGGCAGACATGCATCCACACACACATCGATCATACACTGCCAGATAAAACTTTTGAATGACTTCAGTGAAGATCAAGATGTAATGATTCATTTTTATTTACCTTATTTGATGGAAATGATATCAGTGAAAAAAAAAAAAAAAACATTTTTATTGTGGGGAGAAATTCTTTTTCAGCCAGTCTGGAAGAACAGAACTGTAACTGAATACAAAAGTTTGAACACCCCTTGGTCAAATGACCTGTTCTGTTGATTTCCTAATTGAAAATAAGTGAACGCATCCTCTACACAGAAAGTTTTCTTTAGTGCACGATTTCTATTTATTTGCTGAGTTTAACATATTAGGGAAGAAAATAAAGAAATGTGTGTGTGCATGTATAATGTTCCATAACTATTGCACATATCACATTTTTTACTTGTTTTTCCCCCAGTATGTTAAATTTAGTAAAATAACCTGACTGTGGGCAGAATGTAATTGTGCATTGTGCAGAACTGTGTTCTCTGTACTTAGAAAAGCAACAGAACATGCACCTGAGCTTTTTCATTCAACTGTATTCATTCTCCACAAACGTGTTCTTTTGTAGCAACTGTTGGCAGGTTGAACAGCTTTACAGAACAAATGTGACAAAAATCACATTCAGAGTAAAGAGAAATCATTATGCACTTTGTGTAGAGTCACTGCATAACATTGAGTTTAGTTGAGCCAAACTACATTTTTGTAGCTAATGAAAACCACCTAGATTGGAAACAACAACGTTTAATTTGCCACAGTGCTAACGTCGGCTCAGTTACACAACAAAGAAAACTACATCTGATCTACACTAGCATTTGCCAGGTTTCCAACCAACTGTCAAATTAAATTTAAGCAACTAACTGACGTAGCAAAAAAATCTGCAAATTAATACGTTTAAGGCACCGAGCATGATTTATTCCAATTTTTTTAAAATATGTGTGTAAATGTGTATAACTGACATCATACACATCAAACATTCAAATGATGAAAATGCAACATTATTTCTGTCTTTTATTTAACTTTTGCAAACGTGAATTCATTCGACCAATCACTGTCACTCTGATGTTGAGGCTACAGTCATGTGAGCAATGTGTAAAAGCACTCATAAAGTTTTAACTTCTGGATATAAAACTTTCTGTACTTTTCCAAAATGAAAAGTAGCCTACAGTGGAGTTATTTTCATCCCATTAGAAATTTGTGTTTGAATGCAATTGTACATCATCAACTGTAAAACCAGATTTAGATATTATTTTATATTGCTGTCTTACAAACCTTCAAATTTAGTTTCAGTTTGGAATTCAATTTCAGATGATATGATAAACACAGTGTGATATGGTACACAGTGCACTCATGTATAATTTAGATGTGAAAATATCTGAATGCTTCACATTTTTGTGTCAGTTATTTTCAGAATTCCCATCGTCTGTACTTCACGTTCATACAAAAGCTTTGAGAAATATGACTGAGTTTATAGAGAAATGTTTAATGTTGAGCAGCTTCTCATCGCTGTCTTGTTTTATGGCTGTTGTAATAGCACAGAGAACGCACCGGGAAACTTAAAGTTTCAGGAAATGTCCATTAATAAGCTGCAGGGACTTTGGCTACGTTCACATTATAAGTCTAATTGCTCAACGACCCACAAGCACACGTCCTAATCAATAAAGTCACATGAATAAACCACATGCATCATGAAAAGCAAACTAAGTAGCAGAACAAGCTTTTCTCACAACGATAATTAGCTCTGAGCAACTCACAGCTGTTCGTTATTAGAGGGAGTGGAAGACGGAAAAGGGTCAGAAGCTTTTCCACCGTTTACTGGCACTAACTTCAGGTTCGGCACTGCTGCTACATTAACACTGAATGATGGCGCAAATACGGTGATAAAAAACACATGAATTCAGATCTGAATGTTCTCATTAAGGTCACATGGTCATGGATTGGATACGTAACCAATTAAGGAGCACATATGAAAGCGGCTCAGATCTGATTTGATAAGTTCAGATTTGTGTGTCCACACTGCTCTGAAAAAATCAGACCTGTGTCACGTTAAGGCAAAATATCAGATTTGCGCCAATGCAGCCTGGTAATGTGAATGTAGCCTTTATGTCTGTTTACTGTGACTGATTTGTTTTTGACATTGATAATAATAAAGGTATGTTTATTTCTACATTAATATCCTTGGTACCTGTTGCCTTCTGTGATGTTTCATGGCTATGTCATAGCTTTCATAGCTACGATGTGACAAGAGCTTACAAACTTCTAAGTAACTTTTGATGATTTTATTTGATATTTATCATTTAGTCTTTTTTATTCAAAATGCCAAATATGCATAAAAGTATTGGGATGAATGGATCTACATACAATGGGGTCCAAAAGTCTGGGACCACTGGTGAAAATCCTTCTGTTATGCATTTCATTTCTAATTTAGTACATAGTTTTTCATTACAAATGATATTATCAGCATAACCATTTGAGTAAAAAGTAAAATCTTTGAATGTTTACATGAATTTCAGAATTTAGAATTTCTTGGCATTGTGATGTCCCCCTTTAGCTTTAATGATAGCATGCACTTGGGCTGGTATGGATGCCGTGTGCAAAAGCCTCCAAGTTCCTAGAAATGTGTTAATCCTATCAGACAGTCAAGATAAAGAACACCCCCAAAATGTGGTTGTCTGTAACGTCAGTTTGCTTTGGACACTCTTTCATCAAAAGTGTTTATGGATGGCAGAAACCATCTTTTTAACCCCTTTAACTGACTCTCCAGTGCACTCAATAGCTACAACACACAGTCATTTAACCTGAAACCTCATAACTCTAATGAATGGTTAGAGAACCATGAAGCTCTCCTAATTCAGTTTTCCCTGTGCTGATGTCAGAGAAAGTGCTTTCTGGAAGATGAAAGAAGTACTAGAATAAACATGTGGTGTGGGGCGTGTGGGGTTGTCCTGTGTGTTTGTGAGGGGAAACCTCACTGCTGGACTGGGTGAGGTTACAGCTGAGTCTGGATTGATTAAATCAGCTTAGCGTAGTGGTCCTGGGTGGTGTAAGGCTATGTTTTAAAATGCTGCCATAGGGATTTATCATCTTCAGCGATGCCACAGCCATCCGTAAGCATCTTTGACCTTGCTCTCTCTGGTTTAGCCCTGCTAGCCTACATGGGTGTCTGTTAGCAACAGAACCGGCATGCTGAGCTCTCTGACCCTGCCTTAGCAGCTGCTGAAAACATACGATATTTTAAAAAGCTGTCAAAGACCAAAACAGTGTGATCACTAATTTCACAAATTACTGGCGATTTGCCATATATATGTTTCCTGTTTTGTCATGTATGAATAATCTGAACTCTAAACGCGTTTCCTCTCTGTGCAGCGTGTGACAGTAGCCACTGGGGTCCTCACTGCAGTAACCGCTGTCAGTGTAAAAATGGGGCGCTGTGTAACCCCATCACGGGCGCGTGTATCTGCACAACTGGCTATCGTGGCTGGCGCTGTGAGGAGCGTTGTGAGGCGGGCACCTACGGAAATGGCTGCCAGCAGAAATGCCTGTGTCAGAACAACGCCACCTGCCATCACGTCACAGGAGAGTGCACGTGCAGCCCCGGATACACTGGAGCGTTGTGAGTTACACACATACACAAAGACAAGCTAGTGTATTTACATACCGTAAATGTTCATAAGATGCATAATAGCATGTTTAACCCTTAGAAGTTTAGAGTTCTTAGTACCATTTTGTGCTATTATATAGTTACCTGATTAATTACACAGTCATGCAATTAATTGCAGTTTTATTTGATTTGCATTCTACATCAACAAGTTGAAGTCAAGAAAAATTAAAAATGTAAAGGATTTTTTTTCCACAAAACAAGACTGCAGAACTTTTTATCAAATTTAAAGTCTTAATAAAATATCTCCTCTACTTTTCTATACACGAATGTGGTGTTGATTTGAAAGTTTACAATCAGCACTTTTGACAGAATTTCTAGTTCTTTCAATGAGATACATACATACATACATACATACATACATCATCTAAACCGCTTATCCTTCTGGGTCGCGGTGGGGTGCTGGAGCCTATCCCAGCTGTCAATGAGCTACATGTGAGATATAATTAATATCTAATTATGCTTTGTTTTTGTTAATGCCCGCAATAACTGTGACTTCAAAGAGACTGATTTGTGCACTGTGTCTAACTAAAACTCCACTCATCTTTACCAATCTCACAGTGTTTGTTCTTTGGGTTTATAAAGGACCCATATGTCCTGACTTGTTCTCATCATACCTCTGTTGTTGTCTCCTGCAGTTGTGAGGATCTGTGTCCTCCAGGCAAACATGGGCAACAGTGTGAGGAGCGCTGCCCCTGTCAGAATGGTGGAGTGTGTCACCATGTGACTGGAGAGTGCTCCTGTCCCGCTGGCTGGATGGTAATTATGCAGTTTGTACTGGTATCAGCCAAAATCGTAACCTTGAGGTAATCTCAGAAAAAGAAAGCTGTCCTTGGACATTTGAATTGTAAATGTATTATGTGACTGTATAGCTACAGTACATCATAAATTCCAGATGCTTTCTATCTGACTTAGAAAGCTAAAGTGTTGATTTGGTGAAATATCAAATTTACATCATTTTTGTCCTCTTCCCCAAAATGTAGTTTATCAGTCAAGATGTTTGTTGTCTTTAGTTTTGCACTAGAGCTGTGAGGCTATTAAAGCGAAAATGTAATGGAAAATAGGCAAACTACATGCGTCAACCTGTTAAAGGGCAATTCCACAATTTTTTAAAAATGTACATGATTGATGACGTAAAATGAGTCAGTCAGTCAGAATTGTTCACATCAGGGGCCTCATTTCTAAAACATTCATAAGCACAGCTTTGATCTTAAAATGGTCATATGTAAATGAGACCCCAGGCTTTTAATGTCTTAAAGCTACATCACAGCAAATTATGACAAGAATTGGTTACGAATACACTGCCTGATGTTTAAGACAGACTGTTTTATAGTTATGTGTTAGTTATATGTTTTGAGATAAGGCTTTCAGCTAACACACATTTTTTCATGGTGGAGAGGTATATGCAGGGCGCTGTAAAGCAAAGTTGTCTGGAAAAAAAGAAAACTTTTTTTTGTACAATGTTGCCATATTTCAGTTTTATCAACATTATATGTAAAAGCTTGAAGCCTGTATTTTGATTATACTGTTAATGCCAAACATGTCCTGACTGATCACAATCATCACTTTTAAGTGTTAATTAATTTTTAGAACAGGCTGATAAATGGCTTGTGTGTGTGTGTGCAGGGTACAGTTTGTGGTCAGCCCTGTCCTCAGGGTCGCTTTGGTAGGAACTGCTCTCAGGAGTGTCAATGTCACAATGGAGGAACCTGCTCCTCGTCTACAGGAGAATGCTTCTGCAGCCCAGGATACACTGGAGAGAGGTGAGACACTAGTTAGAGTATGCATGCATCTTTTCTCATAGATTCAGTGTGAAGGATAGAACGAAAGAGAGGAGCATGGCGAAAGACTGTTTATGAAGTGATTATGTTTGCTTTTAAATAGAATGACTGAAAGAGTCTGAGTTAGGTGAGCTGACGTGCTAGTCTGGAGCGTACTGTATTATTATCTTACTTTTATTTTAATATTTTATTATATTATCACTTTGGGCAAAAAATAGATAAATAAATTAAATAGTAAAGTAAGTCATTTTAAATCCAAATTAAAACTTGCTTTTCTTGAACCACAAATGTGGGAACATTCTCCCTTAAGCTTTTTACAAAACATGCTTTATTAGACTTTAAGGTAATGTCTGCTGCATTCAAGGCCTGAATTGATTGTCTGAGGATATTGACAGTATTTGCTGGTCAGTGATAATTGTTATAGATGAGTGTATGTGGACTAGGTCAGAGACAGTAAGTTAGGGGTTTGTATGGGCGCAGGATCTATAGCAAAATGACCCACATCAAGGTCACATGATAATTAAGCTGGGAAGTCAACTGTTGTTAATAGGCTCTGTAAGCACATGTAAACATGTACAGTGCTACTATGGGAGGATTATCAGTGAATAAGAAACTACACTGTAATTAGTACGTCGAATCATATTCTAGGGTCATATTCTAGGGTCATAAAGGGATATAAGCATCAGCTTTTGTCAGTTTTTGTTACTTGTGTACTACTTATGCACTGCATCCTAGGCATCTAAATTCTCACGGCTCTTTTAGCTCACCAAAAATGGCTCCCAAAATGAGCTTAGGCCTCTGTCCTATGTGGGTTTAAACCACAGTCCTCTCATTCATACCACTGGAGCCAGTGTCACAGTGACACAATAAACAGAGAAAAGAGGAGAAAAGAGAAGAGGAAAACAAAACAGGGGGAAAAGGTAAAATAAGTAGAAAAGAAAAGAGAGGTGAGGAAAAGAGAAGAGAAAAAGAGAGAAAAAAGTCAAGCAAAGGAAAAGAAATGAGAAAAGCAGAGACGAAAAAAAAACAAAAATAAAGGAGACAACAAAAGAGGAGAAGAAAATAAAAGGAGAAAAGGATATGAGAGATGAAGGGGAAAAGAAGAGAAAACAGGGAAGGAGATGGAGGAGTGGAACAAAGAAAAGCAGGAAACAAGAAAACACAGGAAAGGAGAAAAGAGGAGAGGAATGAAAATGGGAAAGTGGAGAAGAAAAAAAGGAGAAGAGAAGGTGGGAGAAGAGAGGAGAGGGAAGCAGAAGAGAAAAAAGAGAAGAGAGAAGAGCGAAGCAGAAGAGAAAAAAGGACAAGAGAAGGCAAGAGAGAGAGGAGAGGGAAGGAAAGAGAGAGGAGAAGAGAAGGCAGGAGAATAGAGGAGAGGAAAGGAAAGAGAGAGAGGAGAAGAGAAGACAGGAGAATAGAGGAGAGGGAAGGAAAGAGAGAAAAGAAGAGAAGGCAAGAGAAAATAGGAGAGGGAAGGAAAGAGAGAGGGCATAAAACAGGGCATAAAAACTTATGTTTGTTTATGCACATCTCTTATTAAAACAAGTTCCATTTTATGCCATATCATAGAGACATCGATTTATATTACTAGTAGTTAGATAAAACAAGAGTATTTGTCATGATGTTTCATAGGACTAGGTGGCAGATCAGTGAGCACTGATGTGTTCTGAATGTCACAAGGCCCCACCCTGTCCAAAAAGTCTTTTTTAACCTGAGGCAAACTTCTCAGACAGTCCATGGTTTGTGCTCTAAAATGACCTCAGCACAAAGGGAAGCATAGCGTGGCTAAAATCTGTGTGTGAATGAATAAACGAGTGGCTGATGTGGTGGAGTGCAGCAGCAGTAGGTCAGGGGTACGGCGCCACAGAGCCAGAAACACCTGCGGCCAAAGCCTGCACCCAGGAAGTGAGGTGGGCAGAGAAGAAGCACAGAGAAAGTAGAGCTGTTTCTCTGCTGAAGATGAGGATGAGACGTGTTTGAAGGGTATTTATGCGTTAATAATTGATTATTGGTCTGTCTGAAGTGATATTGCACTCAACAACACGCTTTTTTGTGTTATAACTGTTTTAACACGGTTTGTTTCAGGACGCAGGCACATAGCAATACAAGTATTCAGGTTGTGTAACAAGAACACACATTATGTTGAGGAGGAAATTTATATTGGAATTTTCAGGAATATTCAATCATTGAGATGTTTGAAATTTATTCAGAGGGGTTTGAGGTGAAATGGTTGATTGTAAAGAAACTTGTCAACTCTAATTTCTTTACAGTGGTGGTGATAGGAACCAGGGGTTGTGATATGTATTTACTCTCCAAAACAAGCAGTGAACCTACATGAGCTTTTATATATAATTTATAATTAATGGTTAATCTTTCATATACCTCTCCACCATGAAAGCTATTAAAAAAAAAACATTTTAGGGAAAATTTTAATATTAAAACTGCTGTAAAACAATGTCTCATACATCAGGCAGCACATAACCATTTCATTTGATGTAGCATTTAGATGTAGCTTTAAAAACAGACATTTTGAAAAAGCAGTGGAGTTTAAATATAAACATACTACTTGTGCTAAATTACTCTGTTTGTGTTAAAAGTTATATAATATCAGTTATATGTAATGTAATATCCACCACCAAGTAATTAGCTTTGAATTACCTGACTAACCTGACTGTACATGATTAGGGAGATGGCAATGCAGTAAGGGCATTCAAATAGCTTGCAAAAGTACATAGTTCAACAGCAATGAATTATATGTAATATGCTCTGTGCCAGTGTTTCCTGCCCCTGGACGCCCCCTGTTCTCACCTGATCCAACAAATCAGCTTATTAACTACCCCTAACTGAGTTGTGCTGGATTTAGGGCGGGGGGTGCACTGCTCTGTAATGTTATATCAACACTCACCATGCACTTATAAAGTAATCCATTAAGCATAATGGATTCAAATGTGTACATCACTTTCACATTAAAAATATGTCTCATCAACACAATTACTGCCAGAAGTAAGTAAACTGAAAGATAAAATTGATGTATTAGATGTTCATTTGTGTCGTTTGAATCAACACATGACTACACGACTCTTACAGTGCAAAGAGTTTTTGTAGAGGTTTGTGTAGGTAGCATCACTGAGGTCACGGTGGTTATTGGGGCCAGGCTGAGTTGATTGGGAGCAGAAATTGGGGCCTACATTAGAAATGAGCCTGAGACTGGGTAACATAGCCCAGTACCCATAATTACCAGTATCAGAGTGCACGCACTATATACTTAAGCAGGCCAGAAAGCGACAGGAATAGCACCACAAGTGCATTTTTATGAGTTAATAAGAGCTTTGGCTGAGCCAGACGTCACAGAGGGCTTCCGGCCAACTCTAGCAGGCCCCGGCCCACCACACCCTATGGGTTGGAAAATAATCAGCTCAGCCTCAAAGACTGGCGTATGTGTATAAGAGAGATAGAGAGAGAGAGAGAGCGAGAGAGAGTGAGAGAGAGAGAGAAAGGAAAAAGAAGGAGAGAGTAACTGTTCAGTTTTTCACATCAGTCTTAACACATCCTCTACAGGGAACAAACTGTGGCCCTTTTTGCAAAGTTTGGAATAAATATGTATATAAAATGTGCCAAAACTTTTGCACAGGCCTTTAATTTTTCCCCAATATATTAAAATCAGCTAATAAACAGTAATTGTGTGTTAAAATGTGCAGAAGTGTACAGAAGTCTTGAGAGGCCATGGGCTATTGCTGTAATTTTCTGGATTGTTATCTTGAGATAACAAGATAAGTAACTCATTATTTCAAGACAACAATTTTGTTATCTTGATATGACAAGATAAGTAACTTGTTATTTTAAGATAACAATTTTGTTATCTTGAGATAACAAGATAAATAACTCATCTAAGGATTACAATGTTGTTATCTTGACATAACAAGATAAATAACTCATTATCTCAAGATAACTTTATCTTGAGATTGCAATATAATTAACTTTTGTTATCTCGAGATAACAAGATGAGTAACTTATTACTTCAAGACGACAATTTTGTTTTCTTGAGATAACAAGATAATTAACTCATTATCTCAAAATAACAATCCAGAAAAGTATAACTATCTCATGGCCTTTCTGGACGTCCGTAGAAGTGAGTTCTCTGTAGAGGATGTGTTCATTTATTTCCACTTAGAAAATCAACAAAATGTGTAATTTTCATACAACTGCAGATGAGAGAACAGAGTGACGTAGAGAAAGGGGTCAGAGAGGTAAGAGAGAGAGAGAGGGAGAGAGAGAAAATGAATATGATGTCCTGTTTTGATGTCAGAAAAGAGTTTTCTGCAGAGGAACATCTGTGCTCTCCTCAAATCATTAACAGAAAGGCTATACTGTTACACACAGTGTCCAAGACTTCCCTCTGATGAATGTTGTCCTGTAGGGGATGTTCTACAGAATGTTGAGATATGTGGGATTCAGTGTGGGACTCAATGCCAGGGGAAAACACTGTACTGTTGGAAAACTTCCATGTGTTGCCACACAAGTGTGTCCGTTTGAGGGGGTGTGGGGCCGTTCTACAGAGCAGAGCTTTGGGAACAGCTTAGCCAGAGCCCATCTGCACAGCTAATGGAGAAGATAGCCATGTCCGAATGACACGGCTCGCATTTTTCAGCCCTGACACACTCATTCATCAAACCCAGTGTGTCCTCTTTTACTGGCCTCGTGGAACTAGTTTGCCCTATCTCTAAAGCTTCATCATCTCTAGAGGCAATGCTCATCTGGAGGAGGAAGCTATCAACATGTGAGCAGTGATGAGCTCCAGCCCTCACACAGATATCTGAATGTGACAGTTTATCTGCATTCGTTTTGGAATGTTAGAGTCAATTAGAATTCTGTCTGCACTCTCTTTCTGGCCAAAATAAAATTTGGTTGCATTTTTCTTGAACGTTGCTACATAACATTGATATAAGCATGCCATATACATGTCATGGTAGATGTCATAAGCTGTCATTGCATCAGACATAATGCAATACAGCTCATGACATAACATTGTACGTACAAACCATGACATGTTTATGGCATGGTTATGCCAATGTTATGGAAAATGTTATGGAAAATGATCAGGATATGTTCAAATGTGGAAGTGAAAACATTTGTTTATTAAGTACACTTTTAAAAATTATTCCAAAATAATTAAGTTGTGGTGAAATCTGATGTTTCATGATGCAGTGAATTGCCCCGCAAAGAATCCTAATTAAATCAAATTATTCTGAGGCCTTAATAATAATTAGGAGACATACGTGGTTTTGGTTTTTGTTTTTTGGACATGTCAATTTCTGCATTTCTCCTTGGTCTGTTCAAATATGCTCAGTTTTAAAGAGTTGAGGCTAAGACCTGTGCAGTAGAACAGATAAGATTGTTCTTTTGTCATTCCTATAAGTCAAATTAATATGCACACATGTTCAACCAACATGAAGTTCACCAAGGGCACTTTGATCTGTTGGTGTGGGCAAAGTTTGGTCACTACTGTTTTAACTATGCAACTGTGCAACCTTTGTGCATTTTTAAAGATAACAGTGTGTCTTACAGTGTCTGAAACTGCATAAGCACATTTATTTGAAATTACTTAAAGGGCCCATGTCATGGAAAAACACATTTTCCTTAATTTTACAAAATGAAAGAGTGATGTGGTTTGATGTAGTATGTAAACATTGTGGAGATCAAAATGTATCATTCCCTATCCATTCAATTCTGCCCATGTGCGAAAACTAAGCTGTAAAAACAGCCTGGTTTGAATTCACTGGCTTTGTGAGGTCACCAAAATCAAACGTGTACATATATCCACCTTTTTAGTGTACAGCAGTTTAGCTTCACCCATTAACGCTATAAAGTTATCAAGTGTTTCAGGCCAGATTTTTGAATGGAGGATGTTTCAAGACTCATTTACATATTTCAGTCTTTAAAGTACAGTAACAAAAATTTAGTTCTAAGAGATAACGAGAGGTTGGACAGTGGTGATGTAAAAATTAATGATGGCTGTTTTTGGTAAATAAACCCACACAAACATTAAAAGTGGAAAAATAAAATGCGTACATAAGGGCCTTTTAACAAGGTGATGCAGTTTGAAGCAAGTACATGATCATTTAAGCCAGAGGAGCTGTGACTAATAAAGCTGGGCTTTCAGTTCAGGCCTGAAATGTCAAAATTCGATCAAAAAAAAGCACATGGTGTAACGGTGGACCTTTGAAGCATGTAATTAAGTTGTATATTGCAGTTTTACGTGACTTGCATAAAGAACCCTAGCACGTTGTATGGATTTCCACTCAAGCTACCACTCATATTCACATCAGTGACATATCTAGGAGTTTCAGAAGGCCTCAAATGACATTTTTGCCTAAAAGAAATTAGGCTGTCCGAGCCAGAGTTTGGGTTCCTGTAACATTGTATCTTTTTGGTTTGGCTTAGTTGGTTTCCTACTGCAACATCATAATCGTCATATACGTCATTAACGTCATATAAATACACCGTGCATCATAAGCAGCAGACAAACTAATCAGCAGAGCAGGCTTTGTCATGAAGACAATGAGCTTTGCACAATTTTCTGCTGTTCATTGTTAGAGCAGGATGAAGGTGTGAAAAGGGTCAGATGCTTTTGCGTGGTTTACAGGCTCTAACTTCAGGTTAGGCACTGCTGCCTCATTAACTCTGAATGATGGCGCTTGCACAGCAGACAAAAACACATGAATTCTGATCTGAGCATTCTCATTATGGCGGTAAATTGGATATGTTTCTGATCTAGGATCACATATGAAAGAGGCACAAGTCTGATTTTAAAAGATTTGTGTGTCCACACTGCTCTGAAAACTTCAGATCTGTGTCACTTACAGGCAAAAAAATTCATTCCACTTCAGCCCGGTAATGTGAACATAGCCTAATTCTCTCATTTGTCGCCATGTGAGCCATAAAACTCCTACTTTGCATGAAAACAGAGACTAATAATATCTATGTGTATCACAGTCAAGGCGATAATAATAAACTTTCCTTGATATCTGCTTTTTTTAATGGTTTGTCAATTTGAATGTTATCAATTAGGCTGCTAATGCAAAGCATTCTGTGATCCATGTTCCAAAATTAAAGGCATTGCTTTGCTTTCATTGGTCGTCTGCCGTTATTATCAGCAGCGTATGCCACAGGAACAATATGGCCATCTATCAAGAGTCAGCTGTTAAAACAGGTGCATTATGTGGACAGTGCAGTGCTGATATGCTGCTAGAAGAAGCAGAAAAGCATGTTGAGGTGTGAACTGCTGGTGGGATCGCATTTTTTGGAAATGAACCGAGACTCACAATTTATAGCACACCACAATTCATTTGTTTAGTGTTCACCTGGGTGCAGGTGGCATTTTTATACTTGTCAAAAAAGACTGAACTAAAGAAAAGGTTTGATATGTCGGCACCTTTTGGAAATCAAAATGTGAATGGTTGGTTCCACTGTCACTTCCAAATTAACTTAAAATTACAGACATGTATTGTTTAGTTCCAAGAAGTCATTAGGCCTTCTCCATTTTGGCATCCTTCAGTGGCCTGGTGCCGCAAAAGACGTCTGTATGTGGCCTTTGTACAAAGTTCAGCATTGTTTTTGAATGAGGCATCTGCAGCATGAGGTTAGCAGCAGCTCTGCAGCAGTAGCAGCACACTTCCCCAATCAGTGCTCTTCAAACTGACAGTCAGGGGTGTGTGTGTGTCTCGGCAGGTGTCAGGACGAGTGCCCGGTTGGCAAGTATGGCGTGAGCTGCAGCCAAACCTGCCGCTGTGAGAATGGAGCCAAGTGCTACCACATCAGCGGGGCGTGTCTGTGTGAGCCAGGCTACACGGGTGAGCGCTGCGAGACACGCATCTGCCCTGAGGGCGTCTACGGCCTCAAGTGTGACAAGAAGTGTCCCTGCCACAGCCCAAACACGCACAGGTAAGGTAGATGGGATATTGTACAAACACCATGGTGCTGAGTGCACACTGGCAGCTTATAGCGATCATATATATATATATATATATATATATATATATATATATATATATATATATATGTATATATTAGTTGGGTGTTTCATCATTCTAAGCACTGACGTGGTGGTGGTGTGTTAGTGTGTGTTGTGCAGGTACAAGTTAATCAGACACAGCAGTGCTGGAGTTTGTAAACACTGTGTCCACTCATTCTTCACTCTGTTAGACAAGCCTTATCTTGTTGGACCACCTTGTAGATGTCATTTAGAGATGATAACTCATTGGTTGCCAGACATTTTGTGTTGGTCATCCTCCAGTCCTTCATCAGTGGTCACCAGACACTATTGGCTGGATATTTTTGGTTGCTGGACTATTCTTAGTTTGTTTATGACAACAAATGATTGAACAGTTCATTTTTGCCAGTACATGACTAGCAAACACAGCTTTAATTAAAGTTGTTCACACATAAATTAATAATCTTTTTATACTTCACTTAAAAATAAATTTAAAAAAATGATATTTTGTTAATTTAAGTAATATTTTTTACAAGATGAAGTTTAGGGATTAGGGTTTGGGACAGTCACCTCTCAATAAAAGTACCCTATACATGATGGTTTTGTATATATTTAGCTAATCACGACCTGTATAAATGCCTTGGGTTTAATGGATCATTGTTTTCTGAATAGTTTTTTACTATGGGTCTGTAGTTTGAACTGATTTGGTCCATCTAGACTGTCCATCACTTTCACTCTGTATTTGTCATAGAAACAAATTTCAAACATGTAGGCATAAGCCTTTAGTCTAAAATATCTTTTGGCTTGCTTATGAAAAACGTACATTTAATCAGGTGTGTCCAGACTTTGTATTCGACTGTGTGTGGTTTGTATGTGAGTCAGTTAGTTTGTTTGAGAGAATGAGTGAGAGAAAGGAAAGAAAGTGTATAGAAGAGAGTTTGCTGAGTGTGTAGGTGTTTAGTGGCAGTGGGTGGGGGGTAAATTATTTTGTCAAGGGGGGGTGAGCGTATGTGTTTATGTGCTTAGAGCCACACACACAGTTTCTCATTGTGTTTCTGCCGTGTGGATCAGACAGGCTGCCACAGCTGACTGGCTGCATGTGCTGTGTGTGAGGACAGCTGCTGTATTCTGGCTCAATAGAGCTGCTGTTTCAGGTGCAGCCAGCTGCCTCACCAACAGGTACTGGCCACAGTCAGTCCATAACCACAAACTGACCGATAGCGATGTGGCAAACACTTAACGAAACCTGACTGTCTGTCAGCGTAAAATGTGTTGCTTAAGAAAACTGTCGTCATGAACACTAAAAACCTGTCACTAAAACATGTTAAATTATAGTATGGAGTTATTATAGTCACATAATAAGTTATGTCTCATTACATGAATTACATCTACATTCAGTCTACATTCTGCATCAAAAGGTCTACACGTCTGATTTTTTTGGTATTTGTGTCAAAAATTTAAGAAAATATATAAAGGATGTTTTTCTTCCTTTCCACATTTAAGATTTAATCAAATGTAAAATATAATAAAATAACTTATATTTTAAAACACAAATGTAGCATCAGTTGAACATTCAACATAACTTTTCTGCCAGCTTAAATGGGCTATGAGAGATGCATAAACAAAATTTAAGAGCAGAACATTTATGGGGTACACTGTACAAAAAAAAAAAAAAGAGAGAGATCTGTTGTTTTAACAAGTAAGTAACTGGGCTGCCTGAAGTGGGAATTCAGCCGTATGTTTTAAGATGTGTCATGGTTCCATCATTAGCCAGAATTGTGTATATAGAATTATGTATAAGGCAAAATAGTAGAAAATGTATTTTTTCACTTTTGATTAGTAAATATAACGCCTGTATTAGGCATTGTAACCCCTGGTTACCACCAGCAACAAGAAATCTGAGTTGGTTAGATTCTCTACAAAGCATCATTTTACATCAGACCACACTGAATGACTTCATTTACATCTAAAAATGTGGAATTATGCAGAAATTTAGAAAAAATGGTGGAATTCCCCTTCAATACTTTGAACATTCTGAACTTCACATAAACCTGGTAGAATATAAGACGCATAGTATTGTTGTTGTGTTATCTATTAGAGGTTCAATTCATTGAAAATTTTAAGACAGCCTAGTTACTTAAATTTCTCTAAAATTAGCTTAAAATTTGTAGAAGTCAAAACTTTATTTGTTCACTTTAACAACTCTCTCTCTCTCTCTCTCTCTCTCTCTCTCTCTCTCTCTCTCTCTCTCTCTCTCTCTCTCTCAGTTGTCACCCTGTGTCGGGGGAGTGCTTGTGTCAGCCTGGTTGGTCAGGTGTGTACTGTAATGAGACGTGCGCTCCTGGATTCTACGGTGAGGAGTGTCTGCAGGTGTGTGAGTGCCAGAATGGTGCAGACTGCCACAGTGTGACTGGAGAGTGTAACTGCGCACCAGGCTTTAAGGTAAACACACGTTTATCTCTCAGCTGTCTATTAACACTACTGTTCATCAGTTAAAATCTAATTAAAAAAAAAAAGTCTGAAATCAACATTTTTAATAATGTAACAGAAATTTGATTGCAGTGCAGCTTCACTGGTTGCAAACTTTGTCCAGAAAGGTAACAGAGATGTGGATGATTCCTGCCTGAGAGCTGTAGAACATCAAGAGTGATGTTTAAATTGAACCTCCTCATAGCCTTAAAAGTGATCAAATATTAAATAAAATATTGAATAAAACATCTAAAACATCTACTGGTGTCTTGTTGTGATATCTTGATATACATTCATAAGTGTTATTTTAATAAAATAACAGAAATAATGGTAGTGCGTATACAGTACTGTGCAAAAGTTTTAGGCAACTATGAAAAATTGTCTAGAACTACTCATTTTGTCAGTAACATACCGAATAGCATTATATGAATGCAAGCATGAATAGAATTTCTTGTTTTTTAAAAAAGTTATTAATATCTTTGTTAGATGAGTGTAGTTGGAGGAACACAGGTTTTGTTCCTGACTTCTTTGTGTGCTCCAGCCATTACATGGGCTTGTTAACCTGTATCAGCAGCACACCTCATTTAAATTAATGAAGCATTGATTAAGCAGGTATTGAGTGGTAACTGTAAACTCATTTGTTGAGAAGAGCTTTGAAGCTTTTTGTTTAACCAGGTTATTACATACTAAGGCCAATTATTCAGTAACCACACTGATTACAGTGGAAACTGGTTGTGTTATTCTTAGGTTATAAAAGTGTGTAAGAAAAAACTTTAAACATGCCAGTGGGTCCTGGCCATTTCAGGGCTTAAGGGAACATGCTCGTCACTCATCACATCACAATGTATTGTTATTTATTTCTTTGTATTTATTCTAATGTTTTTAAACAAATGCTTACTGCCCAGATAAATGACGTTGCATATCAATTTTCAGTGCCTGGGACTTTTACACAGTATTTTAAGTGAAGCACTTGGTCATAGTTTGTAGTATTTCATGTCTGAACATGTGTATTTATCAGGTTGGCTGAGAAACAGAAACAGGTAATGAACTGTATGTCTTGGTTCTTAATTTGCTGATGAATTGTTTTTTCAGGGTGCCAAGTGCTCCGTCCCCTGTCCTGCAGGGACATATGGAGTAAACTGCTCCTCTGTGTGCACCTGTAAGAATGGAGCCATGTGTTCTCCGGTAGACGGGTCCTGCACATGCAAAGCAGGTAATTAAAGAAAGGAAGGACGTTTTTACATTTTAACTTGGTCATGTAGTCAAACAGCATTGTAAAATGTTTCATTGTAAGTGTTTTGACGTAGGGTGCCCTTTGTTGCAAACACAATGAGAAAGTTATGATGTAATTTAAACCAAAATATGTTTTCTGTTACTTTCTGTTCAGTTAAACAGCTTTTTTACGATAGGTTAGTTTGATGCTAGATGTTTTTTGTGGCTTTTTGGCCAGCAGCACTCATCCACATGGACTGGATTATGCAATGAAAGTGATTTGTTGGGTTATAGCAGATTTTAGAATGGGTGTTCAAACTCTGTTTTTCATGCTGGGCTGATTTTCTTGATATATAGAATCTGAAATAAGAGAAGTAAAAAATGGATTTACAGACATTTACGTAATCCAACTCCAAAGGCAATGATTCTACCTGTAAAGCATTCATCAAGAGGGTTACTGTGGAATATTAGAAAAGCCACCATTCTTATTTACTCAGGTCTGTGTCCTGTACATGACAATCATGTTGCGGCTGTCCAGACCTTTCTTTATGCACTTTTGACCCTCAGGCTGGCATGGAGTGCACTGCTCTATTAACTGTCCCAGTGGTACATGGGGGCTGGGCTGTAACCTCACTTGCAAGTGTGGAAACGGTGGAGCGTGCAATGCTCTGGATGGCCGCTGCACCTGCGCTCCAGGCTGGAGAGGAGAGCGATGTGACCTACATTGTCAGGTCAGTGCTGTGAAAATTCACACAGACCTGGATTCATGCTGTGTACTGAAAAAAGTATTTAAATTTACTAGATTTAAATCTGTACGCTGCTTCAGCATGAATAAAATATCATCAGGCAGAAGTACATGAGAAGGATGAGTGATATGGCAAAATATATAACATTATGGTATTTACAAACATTTTTATGATGCAAAATTGGTTGTTCTTGAGTTAATTTTTTGAAGGAAAGTACCTCATGGATCTAGTCAACTTCCCAACTACCTATCATACTAACTTCACAACCATCTAACTACCCACCTAACTAACTAACTAACTAACTTGCTCACCTGCTCACTCATATGTAGCAGGCTAAAGATGCTCCACGAGGGGTTGCAGTTAGCACTCCAGTAACTTTTGGTGCTTCAAAAGAGCAGTGCCTTGGAAAACTGACTCTGTATGTTTTTTTAATGTCATGCAAACTACATTAAAACTATTTAAGAAAAATCAAATAAGTGGTGAAAATAAATGAATAAATAGTCTGACATCCAATCAGCTACTTGTTACTTTACAGTTTATATAGTTGATATACTTTGGTTGTAATTGTTTACAGGCTGGTCTAAATCTTTTTTATAATACCTTGATTTATCAAAACACCAGTATGGCCAGTATGGTAAAACCAATTAAAATTGTTTTTGTATTGTCTTTCAGCAATTGTGTTTATGTAACAGATTTTATTTGTGTGAAAAACGACATTTAAATGTACATTTAAATCAAGTAAATTCAAAGCTCCAGGTTTTTTTATTGCATGTGTCATGCTCCTAAGTCCTGTATTTACAATTTTTTTAACAGTGTATTAAATCACATAACTTATTCATGAGTACTAATGGTTAGTATTAGTGAGCTGAATTCCTTTATATGTATAAAAACATGTTTGAAAACAACTTGCAGGGTTTATATTTACTGCATGCAATGACATGTTGCGCATTAGTTTGGATCAATGACGAAAGTCTCACTTTAGCCCAAAGAAATCACATGCTCTGGATGAAACAGCATGGCTTTGATTTGCAGCCTTTCTTAATCACCTAGCAAAGTCACTTTTCTTTTAGAAATCCATTTTTCAGAAAGGATTAATGCAGTTACCTCAAAATCCTCAAGTCACAAGGTTAAATCGAGCGCATTTATAGAATGTTTCAAATTTCTTCAAGCAAACAAAACACTGTGCTTTTAACTTGAATGTACAGTTCAGGACTAAAAACATTCATGTGATATGCAAGATACAATGAAATATATGAAGTTAGCATAAAACTCTTCGAGACTGCATAGTATGTCTTTATGTAATATGCATTTTGTTGACCTCATTAGACTGGTCATATAAAAGACTCATCATGTTTCCAGGTATTATGCAGTACTTCTGTAGCCAAAATTAAGGAGGGTTCTGGAACTAACTGAATGGTTTTGTAGTAAAACTTTGTGTAGCTTCAGCTGTAAACTGTAAATGGCATTGTATGATGTGGTTTCTTCAGGATGGAACTTATGGGATGGACTGTCGAGAGCGCTGTGACTGCAGTCATGCCGATGGCTGTCACCCTGCCACTGGTTACTGCCGCTGCCTTGCAGGCTGGACAGGTAAGCTCTCTCAGTGCTATCATCCTGAAAAGGCCACAGTGTATCTATTGAAATATTGTCTTATGAATATTACCTTGGGAATAGTTAGCCAAAAAACAAATGTACACAAAACAAATATTCCCCTTACAAATGTATTAGACCAGCCAAGGCATATTTGGCTTGCATAGATTTGCATGTAAGTTAGCAGGTTAATTTAACCTTGTACAAATTGGCTCCTGCTGCTGTTTTTCATTATGCAGTGTACTTTTGTGCATTTTTATAGATCACAGTATGTCTTACGTTGTCAGAAACCACATAAGCAGGGCTTATTGAGATTACTTAAGGGATCAATTTCATAGAAAACTAATTATTAAAAAAAAGAGTTTATTTAAATATTGTAAATATTGATAGGTGAAAACATACCATTCACTTCCCAGTTCATAGAGACCACATATGCAAAATAAGCTGCAAAAACAGCTTGTTTTGAATTGTTTCACAAAAATACTTTTACATATATCCACCTGTTCAGCCTATAACAGTTTAGCTCTGCCCACTCCTGCTGAAGTTATAAGGAGTGTTTCAGCCCAGACTGATTTTTGAATGAAACGCAAAACCAGCTAGAGATAAATAGAGATTGGAAAATAGTCAGACAACATGAATTATGACTGTTTGTGGTACATAAACAAATGTTAAAAGTGGAGGAAATAATAAAACACAGGAAAAATGTAGGATATGGACCCTTTAACAACTTGTTATAATTTGAGGCAAATGTTTTCATGATGTTTCCTTTTAGGATGCTTTGATTACTTGTTAGCTAAATTAGCTTCAGTGCAAAAGTGAATAAGCGATGTTAATCGATTACACTTGAGGTAAGAAGAAAATTATGCAAATTTGATTTTTTTTTTTTTAATCCATGGCTATAATAGCAGGTAGCAAATGTTATTACACAGATAACTTATTTCAGACTTGGAAGAAGTAGGAAACTCTTTTTCTGGTCTCCCCTCACCTCATCTTCTCCACTCCTCATCTCCCCTGTTCTCCTCTCCTCTACCCTCCTCTCCTCTCTGGGACGTTCACTATGCAGGCAGCATACTGATGATTTTGTCCCAACGTGCCGGCCCTATAAATACCCAGCCGTTTCTTCAGAGCTACTTAGCCTGAGTTTATCGCCAGCATTCCTCCATCGCCTAGCAACGCACACAGACACTCAAAGAGGCCTTTGTCCTGAGTCTTGGCATAGTGCTCCATCACAATGCTGCTTATCGCCACACAGCTTGAGGGGGGACAGACTGAGACATACACAAAACAGAAAGAGATATGATAATTTGGGAGAGTTTCTGTAAATCAGAGTTTGTTAAAGTCTTTGTGGCTGCCAATACTAAGAAGTGTCCTCATGTGTTAAATAAAGACGGATCAGGTATGAGCTGCTTCCCTCAGATTGACCCAAACTTCTCCCCAACTGTGCTGCGATGAAGTATACTTGAGGGATACAAGGCACCCCCAGCAGGATTTAATTTCCACAGTGAAACAATCTTCTCCCCTCCCACGTGAGCTTTTTGCTCCAGAGTGTATGTTTCTCTGCTTTGTGTAGTTTTTTTTACTCCCTGTTACTCCCTCTTGTCTAGTTGGAGATTTTATTATTCCAATTTCTACAAAATGACGAGTTGTTTGTCTGCCATACGTCTTAAAATGAATTATTGGGAACCAAACAGAATATACTGTAAAGCTTTCACCTTCATTTCAAGCCTGGTTTGGACTGCTGGCTGGCCTGAGCTCCATCTGGCTTCAGATTATGCCTCTGAAGCCAACTCTGTGACCTAGACCTGCTGGAAAATGAATAACCAAGCAAACATGAAATTCATCAAGCTAACCAGCTGATTTATTAGACAAGGTCATAAAGCTGAAGCTATACCTAAAGAGAGCCCTGCAATCTACAGACTATATACTGGCCTTCTCTTCTACTATACTTCACCTTGTACTCTCACCCTTCATCTCAAAGTTTATTCATGTGTTCAAGTAGTTTCCAGTAAGTATTCAAATGTGTCCTGTTTGTTAAAGGTGTGAAAGCACAGTGCAGAAGACCAAATTAAAGGTACATTAAACCCACCCTTTCCCGAATACAGCATCAAAGCAGTGTTGGACCTATCCCACAGATCAATGCAATGGTGACATTCTAACACATTATTTTAGAAATATTGGGGAGGGACATTAACATCGTGAGTAGGGCTGCGTTTTTTGGTAGCACTTTTATGGTAGCAACCAAATAATTTAAGTTCTACACAATATCAACAAATTCCATGTCATTCAGTACCAGATTTTAATACCTTAATAGTCAGTCTGCATTGTAAGCTGATAAGCATGCTTGTTTTAAAATCTAGACTGCTGATTGGCTGGCTAAATTACATTCCGTATATATGTTATTAATGTCAGCCCTTCTGAATTACTCTGTTGTGATCAGTAAACATGCCCATTTCCAGCACCTCACACTCTTTTCTGGTGAAACATATCCACACTTCTGCGGTCTTAACTGCATGCTCACTTTTGTTATGCTTAAAAATACATCACATAAGTGTGTATTTTAGAAAAACCACAAACTGCAAGCGTGGGCTCTGGAGTATGTTATTAGGCGGGCTCCAGCCCAATGTTTAAAACAATGGTTCATCCAAAAATCTAATTTACACAATTTTAGCCTTAACTGGAATTTAATTTATCATCAAAAACACATTTTCCTCTTTTTTTTTTTTATTGGCACTATGAGGCTAATGTAGCTAACAAGTAATAAAAGCTTATAGGCACCATTTAGCGTTAACTACTTGCCTAAATTAGCACACATTTGCTTCAAACTATGTTTTGTTGTTAAGAATCTCAAATAGACTTGCTTATGTGGTTTTTTGACACTGTATGGCATAAAGTTATCTATATAAATAGGCAAAGGTATGCTTCAAATTCAGGCTTAAAGATGGCTGCTACTACTGTTGTCTATAAAAACATAGACAAAATTGTTTTGCATAGCTAAAACAATAGTCACAGCCATCTTGAAGCTTTATACTTTTGCCCATGTTTATAGACAATAATATGTCATACAGTGTGAAAAGCCACACAAGAAAGTTTATTTGTGATTACAATTCTACACAGTTGAGGCAAGTGTGTGATGATTTTGAGAAGGGGTTTGGACAATGCTAACGTATGGCCATAATGTTCCATTACCATTACTATGTTAGCCTTGTAGCTCCAGTGTAAAACTGACGAAGCACCAAACATGTCTTAGCTGATGGACTATGTTTGGAGTATGGGAAAACTGTGTAGGTCTGGCCCAACGCATCGCTTTAAAATTGTGAAGTACATGTGTTTACCATAAAACTGTTTCTCAACCCTGATCCTGGAGGCCCACTGTCCTGCACATTATACTGTTTTCCCTGCTATAACACCCACTCACTAAGGGCTTGTTAATGAGCTGATTAGTTGGATTGGGGATGTTGAGAGCAGGGAGAACACTAAAATGTCCAGGACCCAGGTTGAGAAACACTGCCTTAAAACAAGTAAATGCCATCTTTTTGACTTTATCATCAGTCAAGGAACACTGTGGAATATATCATCAAGGACATCTGTGTAACCAGCACATTTGCCCTTTGTTCCTATCCAGGCATATCTTTATGTCCTCATGCATTTGGAGGGTTAGAATAGACTAACTTTGAGCTGGCCATTGTTAATTAAATTCTATGTGTACTGTGTGCATATGTCTCATTGGGAGGCCAGATATCATTATATTGGTTGGATCCTTTACTAGAGAGATATACTCCATGTATTTTTGGTGGGACGTCTGTGTGTATCATTTTTGTTTGTAGATATCTGTGCCAATTTCTCAGAAATTCCTCTGTCTGTGTGTCTTTCTCCATCTCAGGGATCCACTGTGACAGTGTGTGTGCTGAGGGCCGCTGGGGACCGAATTGCTCTCTGCCCTGTAACTGTAAGAATGGAGCATCCTGCTCACCTGATGAAGGGACCTGCGAATGTGCTCCTGGTTTTAGAGGCACCACCTGCCAGCGGAGTGAGTATCCTGTGCTTGTGTGATTTGAATTAAAGATACTTTTTTTTTAATCAAGACAAATCAAATGGGTAGATCTGTAGACTCCTGGCTCCCCAGGCTCCTGAGTGGTGCAACCATCAAAGCATTGGCCTTATCATCTGGAGATTGTGAGTTTGATCACCAGTGATGCTCTTGCCATCTGTGGTTGTCCAATTGGCATGGCTCTTTTTGGGTGGGTAGGATGCTAGCCAGTGCAGCCATTTGTCAGCTGACAGGACAGAACTGGTGGTTAGTGTTCTCCTCCAAGCGTGTTCAGCTGTCTAATGATGCTGCATTAGCAGCAGTTCAAAAAGATGCGGTGGCTGGTTTCACATGACATGAAGGAAGCTTGTGTTTGCCTTCGCCCTCTTAGCGCTGGTTGTATTGTGCATTTGGGGGAGTCCTAACTAATGGGTGTAACTGAATATGACAAAATTTGGGAGAAAATTACATAAATACAGTTTTGTTACATAAGCCCTCTCGTTTTGCTAATATTTGTGTTCATGTAATATGTTTTATTCGTGTATAAGCACTTAAGACATTTGAGTCATGTACATTCAAAGCACCATTTTTTCAATGTAGCTATAGCTGAAGGACCCTCCCCTCCTGGATCTCCTTTGCACATGTACCTATTTTGTGATCGCTGCCTCTCAAAATTCATTCAGTGAAATTACTTATCAAAATCTGAATTGTTAATTTTTTTAAATAACAAACACAATGCAGTTTTTGTTAACTGGTTAATTAGAATGTAGAAGGTTTTATTAAAAATGTAATCATAGATGAGGTCACTTATTTGGGAAACAAAAAAAAAATGTACAGTCCCAAACAGCCATTTGGACGACATTGTTCTTCTTTATGAACTGAGCCAGAATGCCCCTTACTAGTGTGTATATGTACAGTATGTGTGTGAGATAAAGGCTGACTATAATCGACATGCTAAAAAGAGTGTTGGCCTAGAATATACTTAATTCAAATGTGTGCATCTGTTCCACATGAATGCAATACATCAACTCTGTTCTGCCAAAAATAATCAAGTAAATTCAAAGCAACATTTTTTTCAGTATTCTTCTGGTATATTATATGATGATTGTGATTATTTTTAACTTTTCTCAACATTTCTCTAGATTTTCATTATAAACACTAAAACTGTGATAGTATCTTTAAATATTGTAAAGAGCTTAGGTCAGCTTTTGCTTTCCAGCTGTTGTCCTGATATTGTCCCAATACCCTTACAGTCTGTTCCCCGGGTTACTTTGGTCACCGCTGCAGTCAGGCATGTCCACAATGTGTCCATAGCAACGGGCCCTGTCACCATGTGACTGGCCAGTGTGACTGTCTTCCTGGTTTTAAAGGAGCTCTTTGCAATGAAGGTGAGAATGACTCAGTTATGCTTTGTCAACTACATTTATGTGATGCAGGCCAGTTTGACTGGACTCAACGTGTGCAAGTTTTTTTTTAAAGAATTGTATAGGCCAAAGGTGACCAATGCCGGTCTTGGAAAGCTACATTCCAGTACAGTTTAGACATTTTACTGCTTTAACCTGATAATTAGCTTTGGAGTTGTATCAAGTTTGTTTAAGCAAGAAAAGCATGTTCTAACACTCTAGGAATTAAGTTGGACACATTATAGTGTACACCTTGTTAATCCCTAAAACTTCAGGCTTAATATTCATTTGCATTTCATATTCCTATTCATTTAATAATATTAAAGGGCCCAAATCATGGAAAATCTAATTTTTTGAAATAAAATAATTTGATATAGCTTGCAAATATTGAAGTTTGCAAAATCCCTAGTCCATATACAGAAACTACAAACAGAGCCTGTGTTTTTTTATTATTTAGGTGGTGAATTATTCTCAGCAGTGACACTGATGTGGTGGTGGCGTGTTAGTGTGTGTTGTGCTGGTTCGAGTCAATGAGACACAGCAATGCTGCTGGAGTTTTTAAGCACTTTGTCCATTTACTGTCTACTTTATTAGACACACCTACCCTGTCTCCTTTATAGATGTAAAGTCAGAGACAAGAGCTCATCTGTTACTGCACAGTTTGTGTTGGACATCCTCTAGTTCTTCATCAGTGGTCACAGAATGTTGTTAGCTGAATATTTTTGGTTGGTGTGCTATTCTCAGTCTAGCAAGGACACTGAGGTGTTTAAAAACTCCAGCAGCACTGCTGTGTCTGATCCACTTGTACCAGCACACACTAACACGCCGCCACCACCACGTCAGTGTTACTGCAGTGTTGAAAATAATCCAGCACCCAAATAGTACCTGCTCTGTGGTGGTCCTGTGGTTCTGACTATTGAAGAAAAGGGTAGAAGGGCTACAAAGTGCCCCTATATGGTAAATGGACCTGATTAAATGGAAAATGAGTGTAGATACAATGAGGTGTATTAAATGTACTAAATATACTAAATATGCTGATATATTATGCAACCCTATGTCATATGAGGAATATCTCTGAGGAGCTAATAATAAAAATCTGTCTGGACAGTGTGTCCCAGTGGCAGGTTTGGAAAGAACTGTGCTTGGACATGTACCTGCACCAACAACGGCACATGCAACCCCATTGACGGCTCCTGCCAGTGCTATCCCGGCTGGATTGGCAGCGACTGCTCCCAGCGTGAGTACAAAAAAACAATTTTTCCATCTTTGCTTCCCAAAATGGGGTCAGAGTACCCCAGGGCCTAAGAACCAGTGATGGAGGTCCAAAGCAGAGCGAAATGTTCATGTGCACTAAAACAACATTGAAACAGAGAGTGCCCCCAAGAGCGTACAAACTGCACCAGTTATGCAACATCTCTTAACGCATTCATCTGTGATATAGCACTCTGTAAAAAGAAACAGGTGCCCTCCACTTACATTTGTTCCCTAAAGACAGGTGTTGTGTGCTCCCTGACCTCTGTGGTGTTGATTGAGGACATGATTTATATCTTACTGACAGTTAGCCCTGCAGTGATATGAGCATGCTTTAAAAATCACACTAAATCAAATCAAAACATGTTAAAAACAACACACAGTGTGTTATTGTTTTGTTAAGGGTGACACATTGTGTGTTACACATACATTGTGACTTTACACATACATTTTGAGAGTGCAACACTGACCCCTAGTTTGACCCTGGCAAACATAGAGATGCTCCTAGCCTGTCCAAACTCTCCAAAGTATTTGCTTACTCTGAAATGTCAGCCATCTGGAAGTTTACTAACACTTTTTCTTATTTTATAAGAAAATTTTGCATTTTATTTTATTATATTCAATAATAACTTGTATAATGTAGATTCAAATATTATAGTATAAACTAACAAAAGGTATATGGTTTTAGATATTTTTAGAGAAAAGGTAGTTGTGTTCAATGTTTCAGGAAATTTGTGAATAAGAAGTTATTAAATGATCAATATTTTGCTTTTGTTAAGTAATCTGCACATCTGATTTGGATCTGGATATTAACTTGGTTATTATTTAATTCTCAATGGTAGACAGCTCTCTCATTTTAGTAGTTTACAGAGCTTCATTCACCAGTCTGGACACATCTGATATTTCTTAATGTTTATTTACAGCCATCTAGAGTTCTTCTAATTATTTGAAACCTGTAAATTTGCTCTGAACAAGCATAATAGAAACATTCTTTATACAGTAATCAAACAAACAAATGGCCTTAGATTATTGAAAACAGTGATTCTAAACTTTTAATAGCAACTCCAAACTTTTAAATAGTGTGTAGTTCCAATGGTGGTTCTCGCTGTTGAGAGAACTTTCAGGCTGCTTGCCTGAAAGAATGGCTATGGTGCCCCCTGTTGACTGTGTCTTGAAAAGTCCATTCAAAATGGTACTACATTTCTGAGACATCATGTTTCTCAAGCTTACATAAGTACTTATAAGAAATAACAGATTAAAATTCCTGAGGCATTTCTTTATGTTAAACTTGCAGCTTTATCAGACATATTAATAATGATTGATTTTATTTGTTATTATTATTATTATTATTTGCACCTACATGTCCAAATGTTTGAAGACACCTGCTCATTCAACATTTTTTCTGAAATCAGGGGTATTAATAGAGGGTTTGTCCATCCTTTCCTGCAGTAACAGCCTCTGCTCTTCTGGGAAGGCTTTACACTAAATGTTGGAGCATTGCTGTAAGGATTTGATTAATTAGGAGTGTCTGAATATTTTTGACATCAAAAGTATGAATATACACTATAAATCTGTTTTAACTGTACTTGTGTGTGGTGTTATAGCTTGTCCTCCTGGTCACTGGGGCCCGAACTGCATCCACACGTGTAACTGTCATAACGGCGCGTACTGCAGTGCCTATGATGGCGAGTGCAAATGTACTCCAGGGTGGACGGGACTTTACTGCACACAGCGTGAGTCTTTCTCATTTTCAGCTTTTAACCATGACGTCATGCACGGTGTAGCAACTCATTCTGTAATAACTGCTTATAAAATAACAGCAGTGATAAATCTGATTATACAATTATTTTATTCTATAATGTAAACTCTGAAATGTAATATGCGTACATGATGCCCTTTACAAAATATGCAAGAAAAACTAATTACCAAAATGGTCCTGACTGTTCTATTTTTGAGGACAGGATTCCAGACTGGTGGTGGATCAGATGCCACATTATGACTATGATGAACATGACAAGAAATTACTAGTAACACTGTATTAGAAGAATCCATTGTTCAGTCCATTTTTAATAGAATTTGGTGCCATAAAGTATAAAAGTATAGAAATCTTGATGCTTTAAATCTAGACACAGCTTTTCTGTTGTTTATATCCTCTTTTGAGTCTTGTGAGGCATCTGGTCTAAACCAGATCTTCTAGCAGTAGAAATGGGAAAGATTACATTGGTTAATTGGATGAGTCCATTCATGGTAAAGAGGTACAGAGAAAGTAGGCAAAGAAAAGTTTTTCATATTTACCACAATTTTACTATTAATAATTATTATTAATTACATTACATATAAAAACTCAGAAGAAATGTGTAGGTTCACTGGTTATTTTGGATAGTTAGTAAAGTGGCTATATTTTTGCTGTATGCATTGTGACCTCTGGTTCCCATTACCAGCACAGTAAAGAAAATCTGAGTCGGTAAGTTTCTCTATAATGCACCGTTTCACATCAAACCACTGTGATTGACTTTGTTTACATCTCTACCATTAAATTCTTCAGCAGTAAAAATGGTGAATTTCCTCTTTAACACGGAAGAGGCCTATGAGTGCATGCATTATAAAGCAAGAAAGCATGTGTTTGTTTTTCATATCAATCAAATAAAAAATCACACCAAATCCTACTAAAGCTACAAATAGAGGTATTTTAGCATGCAGTTTTATCATTTATTAATTTCCATTGTATTACATACTAACATCTTATATTATGCCCAAAAGCTTTCTGTTTAACTTTTTCAGGATATTATTATATCATGAATGGTTACATTACTTTAGACACAGTTACTATATCATAAGCAGATGTTACTCTGAGTTGCTACACTTGTTTGCTGTTGTTGTTGTTTGTTTGTTTTTTTTGTTCGTTATACAGTAAATCATATGGGAATGGATTTCAAATGAAATAGTCCTGTGTGCAATGCCAACAGTTAGTATCTAACTGTATCTTCAATACATATGATCAGTGGATGTGTACGCATTGCAGGCTGTCCGTTAGGTTTCTATGGTAAAGACTGTTCCCAGACCTGTCAGTGTCAGAATGGTGCAGACTGTGACCACATCTCTGGGCAGTGTACCTGCCGCAGAGGCTTCATGGGACGACACTGTGAACAAAGTGAGTGAGCAGGGCCTGGAATCATGTGATCACAGTGAATAGAGTCAATGGTGTTTTGGGCTAAAAATGACTTTTTAGACCTGAATGATGTAGATGTTGCACACGGTATTGTGCGCTGATAATGATAAGGTAACCCACCTCTCTGTTTGTGCTCTCAGAATGTCCCCCTGGAACGTATGGCTTTGGCTGCCGGCAGGTGTGTGACTGCCTTAATAACTCCACCTGTGATCACATGACTGGGACCTGCTACTGCAACCCAGGCTGGAAGGGCGCACGGTGTGACCAAGGTAAGGTTATATAGAAAGAGACTGAATGAGCTGCACAATATCTTGCTGCGTTTCTAGTTAGTGTCGAGACTTTGCTGCTAACATTCAGGTGACATGAGGGCAAATTTATCGTTTTAATATTTTAAAAAGTGGCTGTTGTGAATTCACTAAAAAGAGGCAGCAGCTCTTTAGCATCTGTAATAAGATGAAAGGGGTATTCGCTGTTTTTTGTGCCTTGGATTCATTGAGGACTCATTGAGTTTCCATCTCAAAGCACAAAATACTGGCAGGAAATGATTGTAATGACACACTTATTCTAATACTTATATTTGATTTACTAAGGCTGATTGTAAATTCTGACTGTATGTTGTTTAATGCCAGAGAAAAGCTTGTCTTATTTTGGCACTAACACTGCTGCAATTGTTGTTGCTGAGAAAAAAAAGAGTCTATCAGGCACATTTATTTCCTTTCAATTTAAACAAAAACAAAAACATTGTAAACACCTGCCATGTCACATTATTCTGCATTTGATGACAATAAAAAGTTGAACCTGTATGTTTTAGTAAAGCAGTGTTTTAATGGATGTATGCTGCTCATCTAAGTGTCTTAATAGCAGGATTTGTCTAAATCATCACTGTCCAAAAAACAAGTATTTCCATTTTTTTTTCTGATTTTCATTTTACTACACAGTTTGAGCACACCAGCTGGCCTTCAAGTTGTGTGAAAATTTCACAATGAATGGACCAACAGAAATGCTCCAGAATTGATTGGAATAAAATCTCTTTACAGTAACTTACATGAAACTTTAAGAACGCTTTTGCCCTCTCCTGTAAAATTGCCATTTTGGAAATACTTGTTTTTCTTTGGACAGCGACAAAATAATGATTCAGGCATCTTCTATCCCGAACTGTTGTGAAACTCTTTTGGCTATGTAGTCATGGTTTTACTCATTATTTATTGCTTGTCCACACTGTGGCTTTGGTTACAGACATGTTACAGTCAGTCTGGTTAGATGTGCTCCACAGAGCTAAGAGGACACACTCACCACAAGTTTAAATCATACAGTTCCCAATGAAGCAGAAAGCTCTCAATTAAGCAGCAGTTTTACAATATCACAGGAATTCCAAATGCAAGAAAAAAGGGTTTTGCTCCCAAACCAAACACTTCTATACTACACTAATGAATGTGCTTCAAATGGTAGTGCACTATTTTTTCACACTATTTAGTGCTGTCGTATGTGGTTATGATGCAGCCCTTTTTCTCCTACCTGGCAGAAACAAGTCAAACACGTGGTTATATTGTGCTGCTCATATGTTAATTACGAAGTTGCACCTTTGTTCATTTACACTGAAGTTCTTCGTAGGTAAGGCACTAAATAAGCAAATAAATCTGGCCCAGAGACTTCCAGTGTGTTGCCTCAAAACGTCTGTGCAAAACTAAAGAAGCAAAATGAAAATGTGTGTGATCAACTATGTTTAGAGTACATGGAAAATTATGTAAATTTGATTCCTTCAATGATAAATCGAATAACATTGTACCAGATTTACCAGGTACTAGAATTTATTAACTCTTTCAGACCTAAGCCTAAAAGTTGCTGCCTGAGAAATGGGCACATCTTTATATTTTTCAAAAAGTTTCTCTAACACCACCCCCTCACCCAATGACACAACAATTACAGTCATATGCAAAAGTTTGGGCACCCGGTCAAATAACTTGTTTTGTTGATGTTTTAAGTTAAAATAAGTTAACACATCCTCTACAAACAAGACGGTTTGCATATTTTAATACACAGTTACTGTTTATTTGCTGAATTTAACATATCGAAAGAAAAGAATAATTTGTCTGTGCAAAAGTAATGGCACATATTTTACATTTTGTTTTATTTAATTAGAGTAAACTTAGCTAATAAACAGAAATTGTGTACTAAAATGTGCAGAAATACGGAACATTTGTGTTTGTTCCCTGTAGATTATTGTACATTATTATACCGTTTATGCCATTTAAATTCTTATTTTCCTCTGAATATTGTGTTTCTGAAGTTTTTAGTATCAAACTATAGTGTAATGTTCTGCTTTGAATGTTCTGTTGAAACCTACTTTATTTGTATATTGTTTATCTTTTTGGCTCTTGGCCCACCTCAAACACTGCACTTTGGCCCCCAAGACAAAAATCTGGACATGTCTGGTTTAGATAAACAACATTTTACATCTATTCAACCTTCAAAAAACACTTCAACTTCTGCCTTGTTCCACTTTTAATCTCACTGACTTCTCTCTCCTTTTCCTGTGTTTAGCTGGTGTAATCATCGTGGGCAACCTGAACAGTCTGACCAGTGCAGCAGTGCCAGTCGATTCCTATCAGATTGGAGCCATCACAGGCATTATTGTCCTGGTACTGCTGGTGCTCTTTCTTTTGCTCCTCTTCATAATCTACCGGAAAAAGCAGAAAGGCAAAGAACCTGCAATGCCTGCAGTTACTTACACCCCAGCCATGCGGGTCAACACAGACTACACTATTGCAGGTCAGTACTGAAGCTTAAACTGTTTTACAAGACGTTTCTATAAGTTCCCTTGAGATTACAGATCACAGTGGAAATCAATATGTGCTTTATGGCTCTCATCCATGGGTTGGGTGCATGTGGCATGAGCCCAGAAGATTATTTGTTTTTGCCAACCCTCGAATAATCAACCAGGACAACAAACGAGACCCATGTTTATTCCTATTGTGTTTATGTGTGTGTGTTAGCTTGGCATCACTGTTTATTTACAATTTCATCATTTCAAATTCTGGAACTGCTTTCTTCCAGGAGGTCTCAGAATACAAAAACAGGGTACTTTAATTGGTTGCAGAAACTAATGTGATAGCTTGGAGTTGATAGGCTTGATTTGAAAATGCTTTGTTTCCCCAATTGGCTAGTTTCTGTCCAGTTTTAACATAATTGCAAGCTATTTCTAAGAGAGCAGATTGAATATGTCGTGGTCGGTAAAGCAGCTGAATAAATTTGACGGTGAGTCATGCAGGTTGACACTACCAAAAAAGTCGAAAAGTTTGGACACACCAAACTGATCATGCATTCGTCAAAATGGTAGACATGTAGAGCCTGTTTACACCTTGCATTAACATTTGTTTAATGTCCAGATTATATCTGGGTAAACTTTTGCTTTTGGCCATTTACGCTTTTCTCTAAAATGCATCCTTAATTTACCAGATGAGATCCGACTGTACTTTTCCCATGTAAAAAGCACATCAACACATTTCAATTTCCTTTATCTTCTCTTTTCTGTTACGATACCACTGGACAAGCTTGGCCTGGACTCCTTCATCAGCCTGGAGTGCATGAAGGCTCTTGGTTTGGGACTAACTTCAGCTGTGTCCTCCATCTTTAATTCATTGTTTATTCTCTGACCTGCTAGTCAGTTCTTGGCAGATACTCTCCACTCGAATAATTGTACACAGATAATGGAAATGCATTCTGTTTACACTTGGGTTAATGCGGTCAAGATCCATCTCTGAACACTGTCAAATGTGGTTTGAGTGATCTGATCATAATCCGACTGTAATGCACCCTGGGGGTGTTTACACCTGACTTTTCATGTGGTCAAGTGCAATCTGATGTAATCCGATCAGCGACACAACACGTTAATGTAAGGTATAAAGAGACACTTGGGTCTAAAGATATATGCTTAAATGCGAATGAATTCTGTCTTTCCAATACAAAATGGTGAAATTGAAAAAAGTCTTGTAATCAGTGTTATTTATTTAAAATCAGTAGTTGTTCAGTCATTTGATACTCATAATGCACTAAGTTGAAATATTAAGCATTAACTGTTAAAAATGGTTCAGTGTTTTAACTTAAAAAAGAAAGTAACCTGGTTCCTAACCTGGTTTTGAGTTCATTGAACTTCAAATAATAAGTTAACAGAAGTTAATACACAATTTATTGTTCTGTTCATTTACTCTTAGAAATTCAATTAGTTTTAAGTCTTTGAGGCAGCCAGGTTACTTACTTTTTTATGTTAAAACATTGAGTAATTTTTTACAGTGTAGTTATTTATTATCTTAAGACTTTGCGATGCATAAACATTTCCTTAATGTTTATCATTGTTGAGTGGTTAACGTTTATCTTTGGAAACATTATTAATCATTAAAGAACGCTTTTTATAAAGTTCTAACATTTATGAACTTATACTTAAATATAATACATTAATGAAAGGCATTTACAGTGCTTTAATATTGATTCATTTGAATAATATTGTATGTCACTAAGTATACGTAAGTATATGTAGATGAGTTACACTAACCAAAAGCAACCAAACACCCATGTGCTGTAAACATGGCAAAACAACTACTACTAACTGTCTGTCTGGCACATGTTCAGTATTCAGAGCCTCATGCCTCTCTAATGACTGCATACCTTGCATATTAGTTTCATAGTAGTTACTGAAATTGTCAAGAAATTTAAGCTTTAACATTAATAACTGAATTGTATGCCTACAGTTTGAAGGTTAATGTGATATTTAGATCTAAAACATTTTTGTCATCTTTCTTAGATGCACTACCACCGACAAATGAAGCCCCTCCCAACAGCAACTACTTCTCCAACCCCAGCTACCACACACTGACCCAGTGTACCAGCCCGCCCCATGTGAATAACCTGCCTTATGGAAAGGTGAGCCCACCCACTCTGCTTGAAAGGCAGAGCACCTTTTGCCAGTTCAAAGGCAGCTTGTTCTTGTTCAAAGTGGCAGCAAACAAGACACCCAGGCCTAAAAATTGATGCAAAAAGAATCCTGCAAAAGCATTTGTAGCCTAGTATTTCTCTAAGGCGTACAGCCAGCAGACTTGTGCATTTTGTGTTAAACTGTATTTTTGTGCTAAACTGCTTTCAGACAAATATTGACCATTACATTTGATGTTGCATGGTGATTCTTCATCTGTATATTAATAATTCTATTATACTGTAATTTAACTTTGGTTGGCCACTGGATTTACATATTTGACATGTAACATTCAAATAATGCACAAAATGTTAAGTATTTAAGGTTTTCTATTGTGTTTGTTCATCATGTTTGTTCATTTAATTAGCTGTTCAAAAACATGTTATTTACAGCCGTATGCAAAAGTTTGAAAACCCTGGTCAAATGATATGTTTGGTTGATTTTTACATTTTCTACAAGGAACAAACTTTAATATGGCATTTTCTCCAGATTTTAGAGCACGAAATGGAACAAATTGGAAGAAATAAAATATAAAATGTGCCATAACTTTTGCACAGGCCGCATTTTATGTTCTATTTTTTCATGTTAAATTCAGCAAATAAACAGTAATTGTGCATTGAAATGTGCAGGTGTGTATTCTTTGTACAGGATCTGTTAACTTATTTTCCTTTAGAAAATCAACAAAACATGCAGTTTGATCAGGGGTGCCCAAACCTTTGCATACAACTGTATATTGGTGCATTGCATGGAGTTATTTCATCAACTGGCAACAAACCTTAGATGAAAAAAGTGATAAAGTGATAAATACACTTATCTTCAGCCTTTTTACTGTGTTTTTTAACATGCTAGACAAAGAACAACCAGTTGTTTGTTAACCTGAAGAATGTGGAACAGCGAAAGAGGCCGTCTCTGATGGAGCACACTGCAACTCTGCCTGCTGACTGGAAACAGAGCAGCTGCTTCAACGAGCTTGGTAAGCTGTGGCATTTAAAAGGGTTTTTAATGTTTTTCTAATACTTTCCTACAGACAAGACCTTGACACGAAGAAGTAATTACACCTAACAAGTACGTGAAGTCTATGGATAAAGCCACACATATGCTAACCTTACGCTATGATACTTTTTCTCCAGCATCTGCTTTCACAATTTCACAATTCTGTTGCACTTCTTTGCTTGAAAATGGGCTCCCCATAAAACAAAGTCCTTATGGGATATTTTATTGGAAATGTAGAAGCTGGTTCATTTAAATGTATTTCAGACGCAATGTGCCTCTGAATAAACCAGACAATATCAAATTAAACGCTCCTATTCAGGCTTCTGAAACTATTAAGTCCTTTCCTTCCAGCATTATATTCCTCGCACACGTCCCTGGTATAATATGCCCTCCAGTGAACATTATATGGGCTTGATGCTCTTTATTAGCGCCACACATTCCTGCAGTGTCAGTGTCATTTTGTCTGGTTGAATTTCCTGTCAGCACTTTCAGCAGGAGGTAATTTGTGCCTTCTGCAAACACTGATTAAAGAGGATTTCCCAAATATTTTCTGTTTTCCTCTCTTTCTGTCTTTGTTATTGTTTGATTAGGAGCTTATGGAGTTGACAGACGCTACACAGGAAAATCTCTTCGAGGTAAGAAATCTTGCAACTCGATGACAAATTTACCTGTGCCCGAGGATTGTGCAGTTTAAGGCTAATGTAGGGTTGATGGCCATTTTATCAAGTCTATAAAGTCTGTCATTTTCACATAAATACAAGGACACACAGTGTCATTGATGTAAAGCATCAAAAGCTATTTTAGTGCCCTCTTGTGGAAAATCCTAAGCCTGCTAAATCTGAGCGAGTGAGTGACCCACCAAATCCAGATATGATTAAAAACTTTTTTCCCCTTCCGTTTTCAAAAAAAGTATTCGTCCACACCAGCTCTCTGCATCCATACAAGAATGCTGAAATCACTGGAAAACGCTCACATGACCATTCCAGCCCAGTAAGGGAGAGATAATACCTCTAAAAACACAGTGTCATTAGCATGCACACTGTGCATAATATAGACCATGCCACCAAGCTAAAGCACAGTTTTACCTGCAGGCTGTCAGACCTTCACAATTACATATTTCATACAGTAATTCCATATGTCATACATAATTCCGTATTTCATGTTTTCACTAATAAAATAAAAGCTAGAGAAAGAATACCTTCTGCTTGCTGTGAGGTTGTTTACCTAGCCATGGCCACACAATCAACTCTAAAATGTCCTTGCAGTCCTGATCAGGCAAAGATATATTATTAGATATTATTATATAGATATATATTAAAGAAATATTTGAATTATGGAGTGAGGATTTATTTCGAATCTGTCTTTGATTGAGGATCAAGTCAGATTCAAGTCATATATCTTTAGAATCGTTGAGGTATTTTTAATACTTGCAGTGGAGGTGACGCCAAGTTTACAAAAACTGAGTGCAGTATATTCTGAGTGCAGTACATTCAGTACATTGGTTTACTGAAAAATTAAAGCCAAATTTAATTATAAACATGTTATCAACTCCCAAATCACCCCTAAATTGATGAGCACACAGAAACAGCCCAGTCATCAGTCATACTTCAGATAAGAGTTCTGCAGGCTCAATAAATAAAAACAGCTACAGACACAGTCAACTGTGTGATGTCAGAGTTTTCAAAAAGCTGTGTTTTGCCTGTCCATGCAAATACTTTATATTGTGTAAATCAAGGACAAAGTCAATTTACAGATCACTTTATTCTGGTTTTATGTGCATTTTACATACTGTCCCAGCTTTTTGGGAATTGGGTTTGTATGTAGAAAGTAAGAAAAAGATACCCTTTTCTTCGGCTCTCATGTCTATATCCAACCTCTAGATGCCTGTCCAGCTCAGTGCTCTCTTGATGAAATAACTGGAGAATCCTCTGTCCCTTAATAGCAGATACAATTGGTCTCTTAATAGTGAGAAGTAGTAATTAACTTAATGAGGCCAGATCTCTCTTTCCAGCCATTACAAGGGTCACAGGCTTTTCTAGAGCATTAAGTAGGTTTTTGGCTATGCTTTATTTTTCATAAACAAGCATTATAATGTATTCCATTTAGAATAAGAAATCAGAAAGACTTCGTCCACCAATGCATTATGTGATCGTAATATTTATAGACATATACCAACCTTTTCCTTTGTGTCGATGCACAGAAGAAATAATGGTCATTAGTTTTGCATTAGTGAAATATAGCCATACTGTATTGATGTAATGTATATATATGGAAATCATGTACACATTTAAGTGTATTGTTTTTTTCATTGTAACAATCAAGGTTCATTAAAACATGCAATGTTCAAAGTACAAAGTAATTCTTACCTGTACTGTGTTGATTTTTTTTCTAGATCTCGTGAAAGGTGTACCCTACCACGCCAGCTCCTGCTCTCTCAACAGCTCAGAGAACCCCTACGCCACCATTAAAGACCCCCCTCTCCTGTTGCCCAAGAACACAGAGTGTGGCTATGTGGAGATGAAGTCCCCCGCACAGAGAGACTCTCCATACGCAGAGATACACAACTCCAGCCCCGCCAACAAAAACGTTTACGAAGTTGGTAAGTAACTGAAGTCCATTCTAATTCATTTTGTCACTGTCAGAACAAAGTCTTGATAAAAGTTGGTCTTTTTTCTAATGCTGTTGCCAGGACACAAACCCTTCAGTTATGTAATTTCCAGTCAAAAATGGCTATTACAGATTGTGAAAGATATAGAGAAAATGGGCCTCCTAACAACCAAGCGTGACCTGGCAGGCCAACAAAACTGTTCTGGATAAACAGCACTTATAGCTTTAATCTTTGAGAGCTATGAGAAAATCAAGCTCCACTCTTGCTTCAGATATGAATAAATCCTTCCACTGTGAGAAGACAGCTCAACACTAAGAGTCTGAAAGGATGTGTAGCTGTCAAGAAGCCCTTACTGAGGAAAGAAAATATACACGACAGACGAAATCAAACAAAGAAGTTGCTGGTGTTCTCAGAACAATGGTCTGACCACCCCAGACCTCAATATCACTGAATGTGTTTAGGTTTACTTGGATTGTGAGAAGCAAAAAATGCAACCAAATTCTAAGACTGAACTTTGGATGTCTGAAAAAATATCCCTGCAATTTTCGTTGAAAAACTTAAAGCAAGTCTCCTGAAAATAATGGAAGCTGTAATAAAGGCAAAGGCAGACACACTAAATAGTGAAAAAAAATCTTGTTATCATGTTCTTGGTTACTAGAATGTCTTTTAAAATTAAAACAGAATGTGTTACTGAATACCTTTATAAAATGTCTCATAATAATGTAATTGATATTTTATTTGTATTTAGTCAACACTCTTACCCGGAGCAACATAGTGTCTATATAAGTTTTCACAACTTTCTTATAATTGGCCATATAGCAGGTCATCAGCATCACCAACAGCTGTGTGTGGTCAAACAGGGCATTAGAAGGTTTGAAAGTTCATTCAGAACAAGCTTCTGCTGTCTACAGGAGGAGCATGTGGATCCACTTGTTGGTTGCTAATTCTACCACATGACCTTGTTACGCATGTTTTTCTTCCTTTTCCTTTCCAGAGCCGACTGTTAGTTCTGTCTACACACCTGCCAACAACAACTGCAATGGACCATTTGGCCAGGACCCCTATGACCTACCAAAGAACAGCCACATCCCCTGTCATTATGACCTGCTGCCCACACGGGACAGCCCCCCATCCCCCCACAAAGAGCTTGAAAGTGAATGAGCTCTCAGAGACTTGAACAAAAAAAACCCATTCCCCACTGCCATGGCCTCGCCTTCTTTGGTTTCTTTATGCTCACTGGTGGCTTGAAACTCACTGTCTGCATATCTTCACATCAGTATGTTAATGGTTTTATTGCTGTCTTTTTATTGTCATGGTCATTATTCCTAATCATATTCTTACAAGAAGAAAAATACTTTAAGAGAATTTTCCACATGGTTCTCTTAGCTGTCCTCTTGTCCACATTCATACTGGAAAAAACGCGGAGTAATTTAAACAAAGGAGGTGACATTTTGTAGCAGATTTACTCAATAACTTCAATGAATCATTCCATTCATCGATGACAACATATCACTTGCCTTTATATTGTAGAATGCAAATACAGAGCGAACCTCAATTTATTTTTATAACGATGAAATGTTTAAAGACTTACTCAGTATTAGATATTGGACAGGAGGCTGGAACGTCTTTGTTGCTTTCTGCTTTTTTTTTTTTGTATTTAGACGAGTTATTAGCACTGTGTCAAGAATCTGTATCGTCTAAACAATGTCACAGTTGTACTGTTGTTTTAGAAAGATTTTTATAGTGTTTTATCCATACTAAGTTTAACCAAAGGTCAGAGGGCCATAATAACACTTTGTTTTTGTATCTGTATTGGCTCTTTTGGTAAATGTATTTATTTAGGACGACCATCCTTCAGTTCTGTTCCTCATAGCCCTGGGTTTGCACTCATCATCACATCATCATTAATGGTATAATTGCAGTTAGACAAAGGTTTGACCTCAATGATAACATGCTTCTCCTTGAAAGTTTTTGGATGACAACTTAACCCAACTTAGCCGTCTCAATGTAGGTTTATGAAAAACCCAACTTGGTTATTGGAAACAGATCTAAAATACTCAGAGGTGGATGAACTGCAGTACTTCTGTATTTGAGTATAATTAGACATAAGTGTGATAAAATGATACTTGAAGAAAAGTACAGATATCCAGTTTATATTTCTACTTGAGTGAAAGTTACTTGCTTTTGAATGTACTTAAGCAGTAGTGCTTCTAGGATTTATTTTAAGTGGGACTACAGTTTCTGTTCAGGGGACAAGTAAAAAAAAACCCATAACTATCTCATATCTAAATACACGATATAAAAAGAAAACCTTATTAATTAGCTCATTCCACACATTACAAATATTACTTAGTGTGTTTTATATTCAGTGTCACCATGGCTAGGTCTAAAGGTCAGTATCTAAAATTTGACTGACTGTGTAAGACTTTGTGCTTGGACCCCGATGATTTCCACTTGCAATGTAATGTGTAGATGGTCGTTTAGCTCTCAGCCAACGGTTGACATAAATCAATGTGTTCTACAAAAACGAAGTAACAGCTAATTGTTTTGGTTGCAAACAATGATAGTGTACACATATTTACATTTTGCACCACCATTCGAAAGCTATTGAAGAAAGAAGTTATATATATGAAAATCACCTTCTCCGCTCTCGTAACTTATTCACGCGTTACCCTTTTAAAACCATGGCTGCTTGTTACATTAACTACATTAATTACAAGTTAAGAATGTATCTTCCTTCTCCTGTGAAGTTACCATTTCTGAGATACAAGGTTTTATTACAACATTGACAATATGTAGAGGACGCACTTTAACTCAAGTAATATTTTACCCAAAATACTTATACTCAAGTACAGAAATATTGCACTTTGTCCACCCCTGAAAATACTCAAGAGTAATAATGCTTAAGCTGGACTTTTGCAGTGTAATGGAAACGTGTGAGAAATGTTAATATGGGGTTAAAATCAGCCCATTTTTTGTTTAGTCTGAACACAGATAAAGTATTAGAGTATATAGGACTTTTATATGTTTGTGTTGAATGGTACAAGGACAGCCTCCAGTCTTAACCTACTCTGAGCCAGATATTGCATTTGTATAATTGTATATAGCTGTTGTACTTTTTAGAAGAAGATCATAGAACATTGTGTTTGAGAGAGCAAAATACACTCAGTTCTCTGTCTACAGTTTGTAATATTGATAATTCTCTCAAAATTACTGCCTATGTCCTATTTTACGTTCAATGACAATACTGTCAAGGAATTGAAAGGAATCTGGAATTGCTGTATGTATCAGGTTGGCTTTTGGTACAGCAGAAACATTCATCATTCATGTTCAATGTCAGTAAACTTTAATACTGGAGTGGCACTTTCTTCTTTTTCAGTGACCTGATTTCCTGATCTGGGCTTTAAAGTTACTATATTTTCAAGAACGTAACGAATTTGTTAAGGAAAATGACCAGTTTACATGACTCAAAATACACTTACAGATAGATTATTTCAAAACATTTTTTGTTCATTTGCATTTTGAATCACAAACAATAATAACCACTTGAAGAAATCGTAGTTTCCAAAAGGCCAGTGCAGATTTGTGTTGACTGAACTGGAAGGGTATATAATAAGTGTTTCTGTATATATTATCTACGGCATCTTTGTTTTCCCTTGTTTTCCCTTTGTGTTTTTTGTAAGAACAAAATGAAATTGCACAATTTTCATTCTCTTCCCCAAAGAACACCCATGACAATGATATATGCCTTGTACTACCACATTTCTCACATGCTTTGTATTGTATTTTATTTTCCAGTAGCTTATATGAACTGTATGTGCAATTTTGCTTTACAATAAAATGACAAAAATGTTTTAAGTAAACTGTAGTTGTAATGCAGTTTTTGTTGTTTAATAATTACGTATTAACAGGATTGCTTTGCAGTGTTTACCTAATTTAGTCACTTATTTTCATTGCATACTTAATTCTCTATCCTCAGGACTAGGAGTCAGTTTTAAGCATATGGTTTGTGTGGCTAAACTCAGGTCATTCATGTATATGTGTGCACACACTGCACAGAGCCAACACACTAAATCATTTAATCATGTTTGTCTAGAAAATCATGAAGTAGGTTACAAAAATACTCACCTTAATTGAATCCTGAAATATTTTTGCTGTTAATCTGATTATTCATCATGTCACCAGTGAGTGCCTGATTTTTCATTCTGCATAATTAAATAGTTCAGATGTAAACAAAGTCATTCAGGGTGGTTTTGTGTGAAATGCCTTGTTCTAGAGAAACTGACCGGGTCTGAATTGTTCACACTGGTGGTATTAGGAACCAGACGTCCAAAGATTTTAACGCCTCTGAAATATCTCCCTCATATAGAGTTATTACATGAAATAGTTAGATATGTGTTGCCTGATGTCTAAGACATTGTTTTACAGTAGTTTTGTGATAAAATTGGCCTAAATGTATTTTAAACAATTTATGTTGATCTATTCCTGGTGGAGAGATACATGAAGGGTGTTCTAAAGCATAATAGTCCCCTTTGAAAACTTTTTTCAGATTTATGACTTCAGATTTACCATCATCAACATTACATATAAAAACTCAGAAGAGCACATGTAGGTTCACTGGTAGTTTGGGATGGTAAATAAAATGGCTATATTTGTGTTGTGTGACCCCTGGTTTCCTATCACCATCACTGTAAAGAAATCTGAGATGGCAAATTTCTTTAACCACTCTCAATGAATAGGTTTTACAGAAAATTTGAAAAATTGGAAGGAATTCCCCTTCGAGGTGCGGGAATTACACACGTTTTTCCAGAAAACCAATCAGTTCGCAGCCTTAATCCGACTCTCCGCCTACCACAACTTCAGACGTGGCAATTTGTGACGTCACTCAGACGCGGCCATTTTCGACGAGGGTCTGTCGAGTTCGGCTCCGGAGCTGCTGGATGTAATTTCGTCTTCTGTCAGTTTGGTTGAGAAAACAGAAGTGCCAGGTAGGAGTGAGTCACAGCCCGTATTGGAGCGCTTAAACAGACTGTCCTGTCCGTTTACCGCTGCTGTCAGTCCAAGCTTGTTGGCGAGCTGCTGAGTAACCGGAGCTAAACGGCTAACGAGGAGCTCAGTGGGAGGGAGTCGAACTCTTAGCTAACATGCTAACGCTAGCTAACTACACTCAATAGCTCTTTACTTGATGGCGTTATTCTGATATGTGTCATGGTTTCCAGTAATGTTAGCTGTATTCGCTGTATTGACCGGCTTGTAGGCTGAAACGCAGCTTTGAAGTCGCCTCCACCGAAGTAACGTTAGCTAACAGTTGAGTTAGCTTACCTAGCTACCCACTTAAACCTAAACCAAGTGAACCTGTTCTTCTCACTGTCCTCAGTCTGCCTTCTGGCTCGCTAACGTTGGGTAGGTAACTTCAAATTAGTGTGATCTTTACAGTTTGATCATGTCTGCGTTTATTCAGTAACTAAAAGTAGAGCTGACCGTCATATTTTACTAGCTGAGTGCTGAAACAGCTCAAACAGTGATTACAGTGCACACAGAGCTAACGTTGCTGCTCGGTGGGCTGATCTGATCTTAAGTGTTGAAGACGTGGCAGCAGCACACAAGCCTGACTTGCTTTCAGGCTGCCAGCTACGCTACGGATTACAGAAGTAAAATTGCGCTTTATTCCAAAAGATACCTGGCTTTACTGCTTTCTGTGAAAGAGCTACAATGGTAGCTAGCTGTTGTAGTAGATGCAACAAGTAATTGAAGCTCTCCTATTGTGAACGGCATCTCAGTAAAGACAGCTCTGTATGCATTGCCACATGATTATCACCGTAAACAAGACTCTTTCTGTGTAAATTGTGTGTAGGCTATAGATCCTGCATTGTGCATGTGTTAGGTTTGTGAATAACTACGCCTCTGTGAAGCAGGTGTGTAGCTAGAACTTTTAAAACTAGGGTTGCCAGATAAGACCCAGAAATGTTATTGGGGTGGCAAACTGTTAAGAAACATATAAATAAAATAGCATTGTTTTTTCTCTGTATACAACCAGGCATGTCTGTCATTTCCAGATGAATAAAATAGGACATCCACACAACTATTGCTGAAAGTAAACTGGAGGCAAAGCTGTGTTGTTGTGAAATATTTTAGTAATTCATGAGGAAATTATGTATTTGAATCAAGTAAATTACATATATCACTTTTATCAGTGTACTTTAAGTTTTAAAAAAAACATTTCGTATCAGATGGGCCATAGAAGTTCATTCATAGAGCTTTTCTTAGGTTGCATTCTTTACAGATTATACATGAGTGTAATGATTAGAAGGCTAATCAGACAGCACTGTATAAGGTAACCTACAACACATACATGTGTTAAACTGTGAAAAGAAATGAATGATTTATAGCTGACAAATTTTTGATAGTTAACACTTCTTACCATCAGTAGCCTACTATATAATGTAGTTTAGAGCAGCACTGCCAAAGAGACCCAGCGCACATTCACTCACCCGTTTCCTGAGTAAATTAGCTTGTCACAGCAAGATATGCTAATTATTAAATGTAGCATCTCTTATAGCTGATTAGTAACTATTTTATTGATGATGGCTGACTGTCATGTTTCATAACTGGGGTGGCTTCATTCCAGGGTGGCACTGGTCACCCACTGGCTACGCCTCTGCTGTGAAGATCATTATTAAGTTAGTGTAACTTTTATTCTCATCTATGATGTCCATCAAATCGGGGTGTAACAATGCTCATATTATCAGGTTTGATATGATGTTTTATTTCTGAGGTCAAGATTAGAGTTGATATTTTGTATCTATAAAAATTTAATATGCATAACGATACTGGAATCTTATCAGTATTTGCAGATTATCTCTTAAAATACTAGCATCAGATCAGTGTTTGGATTTGATCGATATTTCAAACCAGTATTTGGTGACTTGTTTGTGGTACTCTGGTATTACGGCCTACTGTACTACAGTGTCTGCATTTTATTCACTTTACTGCTGTTGTAACCTTATAGAAATAAATGTTATATTCCCCCAAAATGCTAATCCAGGTAGATGTAGTCTTGCTTGCTATGTTTTATAAATTTTATTGGTATCTGCCCACAGTGCTTATATTGGTGTGCCTTTTATAATGAAAAATTGCAATGAAGCACGACAGTGTGCAAAAAAGTTATCTTACAACATTGCAACTGAAGAACACAAACAACAAACAACACAGAAACCTGTTGTACAGCATGTCTCTACTTTCAACCCACCAACATTGAAGTATTAACATGTCACAAACGCACAATTAAAATATATGCAAAATCTGCTGAGTCTGACACTAAGCATTAACTGTTAGTGTTACTCTTAATATTCATATGTTTCGTGCAAAGATGTTAAATGACAGACCCTCAGAAGAGAGACTAAGGGGTGTGTTGGTGATACAGTTTTAGATTTCAATACACTGTGTTTGTTTGGACCTTTTTTTTTTTTTCAACACTATATTGAAATGGTTCAACCCTTAACGTTAAACAACAAACTAAAACACAAACCCCAACTTGCCTTTTCCATGTGCTTAACATTTGAATTCCTGGTTTCCTAAAAAAACTTTAGGCATTATAATTGTCAAAGTAAGGACTATGTTATGATAATTTGTTTCATACCTAACCACCTACTTACATAGATGTGATGTAGTCTTCGAAGTAAGCTAGATTTTAAATACCTTGTATTGTGTTACATATGAAATTTAAATTTATTTAAGTCTTGAATGTTGCTCTATGTGATGCTAATACAGAATTATTCAAACTAGGGAGTCGTCAATTCCGATGCTGGAATCGGGCATCGGGACAGTACTGCACTAATTTACCCCCACTCATAAAAATTCACTGATACAAACTTTCTGATACCCAGTTATACAGTGTGACATAAGCCGAGTGCCATGCTAATGGATAAACTACTCGGAAACAAAACGAAACTGGTAGTGAAGTCAGACAAACACAGTCCCAACTGCTTCCCCAATACAGATGGAGACACATATGCCAGCTGAACAGAGATGAAGAAAGTCGACATTTCCTACCAAAGTCTGTATATGCTGACCGTACTCTGTTTGACTGAACAAAACTGCAAGGTTAATGCAGTGATTATTAAACTGTCTTTGTAAAATAGGCTGTAGAAAGAGCGTATTGTCCTACAGTGTATATTTCAGTGCTCACTGTTAGCAGCACTGCTGTATCAGTTTCTTGTTCAGTACTGGGTGTGCATTGTGTTATTTTGGATGAAACAGACAGACCTGTCTGTAGAGGCTGTGTTTCACGTAGCATGGATGGTGCGTTTTCGTACAGTGTGAGTATATAAATTGTAGGTTTTGTCTGTACATGATGGTCTATTTAAATGTGTGGTGTGAGTCACCATAGAACTATACTGTCTGGCTGTAGAAGACATTAAACTACAGCTCAACCAGCCAAACAAAAGATTTCAGATGTAAAACTCCACAAGTAAGCTCCTCAAATGCATTAGTAATTAAATAATAAAATTGTAATTTTTGCTGTCACTGTGCTACAGAGGCTGTGGTTGAAAGAGACAGATGAGGAGCATCGAAACTATAAAACATACTTCACTTACAGCTGTGCATTCAAAATCAGCTAGATTTTAATAATTGTAGGTTACTCTGTATGGTATCAGACTTGGTATCGGCGAGTACTAAAAAATATGTTTTTGTACTTGGACTGAGAAAAATGATATCAATTCATCCCTATTTCAACGCATTTGATTAAAATGAATGAATTGCTCAGATCTGATTCAAAGTTTTAAAACCTGGGTTTCATAGTGACCTGACATCACATAGGCTAGTGGTGTTATAAACGGACAGCTCCGTTAAAAGCAAAATATGTTCAATTCCTGGACATTACATATGTATATTTTGTGTGCATAGAATAGAGTTTTAAAGCTTGAAAGCTATTAGTGTAATGTGTGTGGATTTACAGAGAAATATAAATAATCTATTCTAAACTATTTAATTACATAATTCAGCTGCTGTGAAGAATTCTAAAAAAGTTAAACCTCATTAGGGTTGAGGCCAAAAAAGGGTCTTAATGCCAAAAGACAATGACAATGAATGAAACCTGGCCTAAGCTACTCATATGAGTCAAACAGCAAGTGCGAGGGAGCAATGCAGAGTGTTTGTCTGCAACTGTTAGCACAGGCTGAATTGCTATCTTTTTTTCTTCACCACCACAGACAGGATTAAAGATGATGGAAGAGAGTGGAATAGAGACTACCCCACCAACCACTCCTCCACCTCCCCTCAGTGCGGCTGCCGCCGTCAGACCTCCTCCTCTCACAGTGGGTAAGGCCTATGCAGAGCTGGTGCCTTATGTCAAGGGAAATCAAGTGAGATATTTAGTTCGAAAGTTATGGTAGAGCACCATCCGTCATAGAGACAGTGTTTCGTCACAGTGGAATTTTTTGTTGTTGGTCCACTAATCAAATCTACAGACTTTGATTGTTGATGGAAAATGCCAAACATCAGGTACAAACTTTTTTTCTTTTTCCACCAGAATCAAATCTAGCAGTCCAGAATTGCAGTTGCATTTTTACATCCCTAGAATTAATTTATAAGCTGTTGCCATGTAAATCTAGACTGTCGTGTAAACTTATCTTGCATAAATGTTTGATTTAGGAATGTGAATCTGGTAAGCCTCCAAAGCAAATGGCATGTTCTTCTGTATTTTGCATATCCCTCTAGATGTGTCCTTTGTCTAAACTTAGCCCTTTCAGGTTTCAAAGTCTTTGTCAAACTTGACCCTGTAGTTCAGAATGGCAATTAAAAAATGCAGCACATTAAGGAAACGTAGTGCAGAGTCTATTACAATTTGTAATACACAGTCACACATGCACACACAGCCTCCTCATGCCTCCTCCTTATACGGTTAGCACTGTTTTTCTTTTACACACACAGACACACTGTCCACAGAAACTAAATATTTCTTGCAGGAAAGAAAATCCAGACCTATCTGGGTAGGGATGATACTGATATAAGGGTCCTGTGCAGGACACAGCCCACATTTCTCCCTGCGTATTCCAATCTGCTGCCTCCATAATGGATAAAAGGAGATTCACAGTCTATGAAATCCATGAAATCATAGATCAAGAAGATGGTCTGGATTTACAATATGTTAATAGTAAAATAAAAGAAGAGGCATTCGAAACTGAGGGCAATGTTGAAATCAATTAAGTATGTGAGGAATTATCTTATAAGTAAACTGATGTGCAGCAAAATGCTAAAAGGGAGGCATTTATGTATAAATTATCCAAATATTGTTGTCCTCACCCCCTCTGAACCTTGGGGTAAAATGGCACCTCAAAATAGACTGACCCAGATTGACCCAGGGCCCACAAGATCTTTAGGAACAATGAGTAAAACTGTTTTGGTTTCGTTTGTTACATAAGGTTCAACTTTGACCCATAACATAAAAGTTGTAAATTTATTCATAATATAATGTCATCAGCATATATTAACTGTGTTAATATTAACTGTGTAACTATAATCTGTGAAGTGCATCCCTGCTAAAATTAGATACGCTAGTAGAATATACGGCTCCTACATTCAAAATAGCAATGTAAACTTGTATAATGCTTGTGTTTTGTAATGAAAATGAACATCCTGTTTTAGAGCAAATAAGATAAACGCGAACAGTAAAATAGAATAAAATACATTAATCTCTAAGTTGTTGATGGGTAAGTAGTTGGCAAGTAGGGTCAACTGAAATTATAGATGTTCTAGGACTGTTTTGAGGTGATTTAGCCATACGGGTAGAAAATTGACCTGCAAACATCAATGATGTAACTGATTTGCAAACGTGTTAGGAGGGTAAGATTCCTGAGGATAATTTTTCAAGCAGGTAATGAATGTCCAGCAGCTATAGGGCAAGAGCAAGTCCCAGTAGGGTTTAACAGTAAGAGATGTTTGACTTAGGGCGCATTTATGCAAATGTGCCTGGTAATCAGCTGACTAACTTTGAAGAGACCTTCACAGCAGCACTCCCTCTCAGGAATAATTGTAGCTTTGGGCGATATATTCCCAGCTGATGTTACTGTGTGACACAGGCAACAGTTACAGCATTGTTATTTACACCCACAATGTCATCTCAATGCCCGAAATATCCATTTGTTATTGCCAGTAGCTAACTATTAATAAGGCTCCTAATGCTTAGCGTGTCTTCGGTGGACGCTTACTGAGATAAAACAGGAGCCTCATGTCCTTTTAAGGTGTAGCAGTATTTTATTATTATTATTTTCATGCAAGGTCATTGTGATCGTGTACAGCTAGATAAATGGAGAAAGCGTGTCATCACAAAAATAGATGTTCTTGCATAGTGTTTGCACTTTGGTGAGTGTTGCGTAGGTTTTATTACATTTTAATATCAGCCATTTGATAAATGAGTAGGAAACTGGTGAGGGGGAAAAAGCCTGTATCTAAAATGTTTTCCAAAAACAGCAAAAATCTAATACACAACCTTTACATTATGTGTAGTGGTTCTTTAAACTGGAAAAGGATTTCATCTTTCTTCACCTCACACATGTCATTTACATAAATGATTGTTTAAAAAACATTTACTGAAAGATTGTTCAGTAAATGGTTATTTTATGGTGCCGCTCCCACAAACCTTTTTTTGTCATCTTTATTAATAAGAGTGTGGATACAGAGTAATTTACTGACATTACTGAATAAAACATCTTAAGATTAGCTACTGAATAATAAGCTTGCAGGTTGTTAACACCATTTGTCCTCTTTTTAGGTCTGTCCAATCCCCTGACCCTTCCCAGCACCACAGGCATTTCCAACTTTGCCCCAGAAGGCTTCTCCACCCCAGTACGCCCCGCAGCAGTGACTTCCACCCTGCCTCCCATGCAGTCCTCTGCCCCTCCTCCATTTTCCCTCAGCCCCATGAACCCTCTGTCCACAGCCTCCCCAGCCCCTGCTCCTCCACTTGGTGGGGGTGTGCCTTACAGCAGCCCTATGGTCCCCTTCACCTCCCCCACTCTTCCACCTCCCCTTGGCTCCACTGCCCCTCCTCCAGGCCCGGTTCTCTCTGCCCCACCCATGGGGCCACCCACCACCGGCTTCACTACGAGTGCAGGCTATGACATCACACGCGGACATGCTGGTCGCACGCCACAGACGCCGCTGATGCCTAGTTTCTCTAGTGCTCCCCCCATGCCAGGTAAGACAGTCATGTCAGATTTATTCTTTAGCTGACATTAACTGTGTTGCGTACAGTACTATGCAGAGACTACTCTTTATTTATTTTATTCATTTCTGGTCAGAATGGCCATTTAAATAGAGATATTTCTGAGGATGGTATAAGATCATTAACTTGCGTAAGGAAGGGAAATAAGTAAAGGTTGTGGTTGAGTAAAAAAAATAGTAAAATAAAAGATATTGAGAAAATAGGACTCTGACCTGGTAGTCCACCAAAACTGCCATCATCAGATAAGTAGTGCTGAAAGCTTTCGTCTTTGAGAGACCTCTACTCTTGCTTCAGATCAGTTAAAATCAGAAAATTATCCCTACAGATTTCTTTGAAAAACTGAAAGAAAAAATTTAAAAAGTTGTGCTTAATGGTTGTTTTGACTGGAAATGGAATATGAAATAAAGTAATACCACTGTCAAAAACAAATCACTAAGGTGCCTTTAGATTTTTTTCTCTTCTGTTTTTCTTCATACCTTACTTTGAACATACACCTTCAGGCAGTGTAGATGATACTGATGCAGTGATTCATTGATTCTCCTACAGTACAATGCATTATAAATTCACTCTATATCCATTAAAACAAGTGGAGTAAAAACAGTGTATTGCGAGCAACAGGCAATAGATGATATTTGTCATTTGTAATGTATCCTGAGGTGGGTGGTGTGATGCAGAAAGCACAGGGTCAGGAGAGCTAAATTGGAGGCTATTATCTGAATGACTGAGTGGAGGGCACTGGAACTAAGCCTACCAATTTCAACCAAGCTGTAGCTGTCAGCTCAGAGCCACTCTCATCAGCAGAGCAGGGAGCTGCCAGCCACTGCCCCGGCTCTGAAACGCCCGCAATTTATTTGTGCGCTACAGGAGAGAACTGTTGAAGTAAATAGTCATGGAGAGCTGAACGACATTCAAAAGTTCTGTGAAGCATTTGATTAATGCTACTTGCAAGGTCAAAACTACTTTTAACAGATTAATTTTTTTTTCTGTGCCATTTGTGTCACACTCATAATAACAGATGTCAGTAGAAAGCCTGTTTTTGTTCTTCCTCATATAAATTATGTCATGGCTGGTGTTTAGGTGTGGTTACCAACCCAATGATGCAACAGCCAGTCATGTCAGGTGGTTTGGAGGTGAGCTCCCCCATAACCTTCCCAGAGGACCATGAGGATCCGAGAGCCGTCCATGAAATCAGTTCTGGAGGAGGAATATGGGGCTTCATCAAGGTAGTGAGCCACTTTTAGTTGAGAAAAACAACTCTCTCTATTTAAGGGATGAAAAGCAAAAGCTGACTCTGCGAAACTTAAACCTGCTCAAGCACATTAGAACCATAGGCTTATTCTCACTCATTTTGTAATTCAAACTAAGGCTTTTTTAAGTGATGGGGTTCTGCTGGATTAGTTCCAACCTCATTAATTTGACTTTGTTTCAGGGTGTTGCTGGTAACCCCATGGTGAAGACAGTCCTCGACAAGACCAAGCACTCCGTGGAGTCCATGATCACTACACTAGACCCTGGAATGGCTCCATACATTAGTAAGCACAGTTTTTTCAATATGCTTCATAGCCAGAGCTATTCATTATACAGTAGTGATGTTTTCTGAAAGGCCCTTTAGAACAGAACCATGCCAAGTAATGATTTGACAAAGTAAATGTGCATGTGGCTGTTACAGAATCAGGCGGTGATGTGGACGTTGTGGTGACGTCTGATAAGGAAGTTAAAGTGGGAGCAGTACGTGATGCCTTCCAGGAGGTGTTCGGCATGGCCATGGTGACTGGAGAGGCAGGCCAATCCAACATTGCTCCTCAGCCAGTGGGCTATGCAGCAGGAGTGAAGGTGAGATGCTACTTCTGTATCTTTCAGATCTTCCAGAGGTGCCACCTATTTCAGTACCAGTTTTAACAAGACCTCATCCACCTACCATTTTCATTTTCACTTGGGGGGAATCCCCAATGCCATTTTTAGGGCCACTCCATTACTTAATTAGCTTAAGTGTAGGGTGTTAAATGAGCCCTCGGAGTGGCAAGGAATTGACTGAACACAAGTGTTGACTTCAACAGCAGAAGTCATTGCATCTGATCACTTTTCAAATTCGAAAGTAATGGCGGACAAAGCTGTTCATAAACCAAAGCTGTAAACTACTTTAAAATGCTCCATGTTTCAAAACTATTACATTTAGTTTGTTGGGCTTTAGGCTATAAACTGCTACATCTGTTACAAATGGTTGCTGATACAACTTTCTCCCTTTACTCAGGCAGCCAGCCAACTCACGTCTCAAAAAAAACAGTTTTGCATTGCAAAGTTTGCATGGCTAGCTGATTAGCTCGCTGAGGCTAACACGTGGTGGGCAAAAGTGTTCTTATTGAATAACAGACCACCTGTGACGCATAGGAATGTGAATGGGTACTTGAACACTCAGCTAACCATTTAAGGTGCCCGTATAATAATACTAAATACTGAAAGCACTAAAATGAGTGTAACGCAACAATTTTGCTTCTATTTACAAATAAGTATGGTATGTTATACTTTGCTAGTAGGAAACACAAGTTACTGAATGTGAGTGCATTGTCAAAGACTGAGAAGACAGAGATAACATAGCTATCACTAACAAGACTAGCTACTATAGCTGGTTTAGATGCAATGAAAAGGTCCACCTATATTTCTGACAAATAAGGTGTTGGCACCTTGTCCACTGAGAAGAAAATACAAATACCTTGTGTTGAAGACAATAAATCCTCATCAGCATCCCAAGCGATGCTAGTTAGCTCTGTTAGTTCATTAGCTCATCTGAAGAGGCTGAAGAGGCAGCCTCTGTTACTCTGTTATCCATTACTCTGTTAAACTAACACTTTTCAAGTGTATTCCTCCACGGACTGCTGTATTTTTGTGCAACACCAGTGCTAGAACCTAAAAAGGTAAGCCTCTGGCCCTACGTAGCTTGCGGCCAAAGTCTGTTTTTTTATTATTATTCATTTATTTATTTAGCTATTGTTTTCTTTCCCTCAGAGTTAACCAGATATCTGTTCATGAACTTATACATGTACATGAACATTAAAAGTAGTCAGAATTCGCATGCATAATAAAATGTTGTTATACTGTAGGTGCTGTACTTTACTACTTTTCTACAGAGGCACACTGTTTCACAACAGTTAAGTTAAGCTCCAACCAGAGTCTAACAAGCTGTCCTGCCCCTAAGGCAACACTTAAGGCATCTAATCCAGCCAGTCAAGGACTTATGAAGAAGTTAACTGGAGCCAGTGTGGCAGATTACAGTTGGAGCTAGACTTTGCAGGAAAGTAAAGAGGTTAAAATGTTTTTGCTGTTTGGCAAGTCGTTTTTAAGAAAATTGTACAGGATAAGGTCTACAATGTGGTATTATTTATTCACTTTTCTAGCCCTATATGGAGCTGCTGAGTGGTATATAAATACATGTATTTCTCCATCTACAGGGAGCCCAGGAGCGCATCGACAGTCTACGGCGTGCTGCCGTAATCCATGAGAAACAGCCTGTGGTGTCTGTGGAGAATTTCATAGCTGAGCTCTTTCCAGACAAGTAAGTGCAGGAAGAATCCTCAAATCTTTACCTTGTTTCCTTTTCAGATCATACATACAGTGGCATGCAAAAGTTTGGGCACCACAGTCAGAATTTCTGTGACTCTGTATAGCTAAGCAAGTAAAGGGCATAAAGCTAAAGATGATGTATTTGTGGGCATCATTTATTTTAATTTTCAGAGTGCTAGGCAGCTGCTTAGAGGAGCCCATGGCTGCTGATTGTTGGGACAAGATTTAAGGAGTCAGAGTATTAAAAAGGCTTTGAAATGTAACTTTTTAAAATCACCTGGCCTTTCCTAACAATGATTGTGAACAAGCCAAAGCCCTAACAAGCTAATTAAGGTCTGAGACCTTGGTAAAAGTTATCGGAGAGATCAAATGTCTTGGGGTGCTCAAAATTTTGCATGGTGCTACTTTCCTTTTTTCGCTCCCACAGTTTTACAAAGCAAAAACGGTACACTATTCTTATGGCAAATGTTGAAAAGAATATTTCCTCTAACTTTAAACCTGTTGGAAATCTGGTCATATTTTACTCGTTTAGCTATTTGCAGTAACAGAAATTTTGACCAGTGGTACCCAGTGTTTTGCATGCCACTGTAATATAGTTCAATTTTGACATTTCTTTATTCTCTGCATCTGTCCTGTCCAGTGACTTTGGTTCCCCTATTGCCCTTATTGTGAGTAGTTCCATTTGGTAAAATTTTTATGTGTGTGGAACCTCTCAAGGGGACACATAAATAGCCAAATTACTTGTCATCCTTACAGAAAGTGTATTTATCACCGCTTTTGCTTACAGTGACATTAAGAATTCAAAGATGTCAGGTTTGTTATGACTTGAAAAATAGTTTGGTGTCTTAAATCTTAGTCTCAGTTTAGATGACACGACTTGTACCGGGTCCAAGAATCTGACTCCGTGTTTAGCTGGAGGACACGGTGGAAGGTTGTAGCGTGAAGGTCTGCTGTCTGAGGTGGTGGGGCTGTCGCTCTGAAGTGTAGGGAGAATACTAATGCAAGGTCCGAGGCTGTGAGTAGCATAAAAAAAAAAAGATGTGGTAAGCAAGGCCGAGATCAGCCACCCTGATCTGGCCTGATCTGGCTTCTCTTATCTTCAAAGAGCAGAATCCCGCCACTCGCTGGAACAGCACCTCACAGATTGACCATGTGGCTGTTAAATCAGGGCTGGGTCGCCTGAATTGGAGAAAGCCTGAGAGACTATGACTGTTTCTGTTTCTCCAGCTTCAATTACTGCGGCTGTGTAATGTTGAATGGTCACATTTAGAGGCTTTTCCCAGAGGCCTGGCTTAATTAAAGTGTGGGCAGACAACACACCATCACCTTTTGTATTTGTTTTCTGTTATTCTTCTTCCCAGCCTAAAGGCAGGGTGTAAGGGAATTGCTTTAATGGAAGAAATAGCATCTACACTTAAGTACTTGCTAGTAGTAGTCGTTTCAGTATGGTACCAATTCAGTAGTTTTATTATGATTGTAGTTTTTGTTCCAGATGTATTTCTTTCACTCTGCTCTCATTTGTCATTGGCATAGTACTGCCCTTGTTTGCCCTGGGGTATTATTGATGCCTATGTTTTGATATATTTGCAATGCTCTCTGTTAGGTGGTTTGACATTGGGTGTTTAATTCTGGATGACCCTGGCAATGGCATCCACATCGAGACTTTCACACAGGCTACTCCTGTGGCTCTGGAGCACGTACAACAGGTAAGAGTTGTTACTCATGCAGCTGACACTCCACTTTGGGTGACTGTCTTTAATTAAACCCTACATTATCCAAAAGCTATTTGACACTGTATAAATGTGTTAAACTGCACGGCCGGAAATATCACAGGCTTGTCATGTTGAGTAGTGATGCTGGCCACAGCTGTCTCCCTGACAGCCCTGCCTGAGTGCGTGGTGTTGTATCATTCGTTTGAACTGCTATACAGCCTTGTTTGAAACTTCACCTGCCAAACTGTCCAATGACTCAGCAATTAAAAAGCACTTTGTCTCATCAAGCTCTCAGATCTCCTTTACATTTGAGGTAGTGAATTTTAAGAGATTAAATAGAGCAACATCCCACTATTACTTAACACGGCCATTTTTTTTTTTTCACCAACACTCACTGAAGGCTATTTAAAAAAGCTGATGTTCCTTTACACATTCGGTTCACATTTAATGGCTTTGATGTTGTCATATGTTTGTAAGCTGTATGAACCTGAAATTACATTAAGGCTCTTAAAAGATTAAAAAGTTAACTAGGCAAACACTTGACATCAGTGGCGATGAGCTCAGATATTATTAATGTTGCGCTGCAGTTTTCAGTGCCTTACAGATGTCAAGTCAGTGCACTGTGGAAGCATGATCAAAAGGCATGCATGTTGAAAAGACATGTTAAAAGATGTTAAGAGAGAGTGTAAAAGCAGATCACTTTAAATATATAAATAAATAGATAAAGAGAGCAAAAAATAAAATATCTGTTGTCAGCAAAAGGAAAACAATAGTTATGAGGAAAGAGACAGTAAAAAAAAAAGAGAAATTTGATTATACTTGTAAAATAAACAGTAAAGTCAAATGAATACGTTTCAGAGTAGTGATACACCAAAATGAAAAGTCTTAACCAAAACTGAAATTCAGGACACACTTGGCTATAAACCAAAAACTGACAGGACAGCGCTCTTTTATATATAATTTGCAGTGATATTTAGATTGTTAATTTAACGTAATAATGCTGACATGTCTTCAGAGGTAAAAATCGCCATGTTGAGAAAGAGAACTAGAGGAGTAATTTAATTTAATGAGCTTTATAAATAATATTAAATATAAAATGTATTAAAATATAGTTCATTATTGCTCTAAGGCATCTGATGCTGAATTCCAGAGGGCCTGAGCTTTAACAGAGGAAACATTTTTTTTTTAAATATGTAAAACATGGACGTAGCAGTCTTCTCTAGCAGGGGGCACCGTTATTATTCAAGTCGCTTTTGTGTTCCTTGTTTAGAAAAGAAACAGCCATAAACTCACATCAGCAGGATCTAACAAAATCAAAACAAGAGGTAAAAAGTTTACCAACAGATATTAACCTGCTAATCTTCCTTATGTGATTTCCATGAAAAAATTTGTTAAATCAGTTAATGCTGAGTATGTAAGCTAAAGGCAGTATGTAAGCTAAAGGCAGCACTGAACAAGAGAGCGACGAAAACAGACAGCATTTTTAACTACATCTAATTTTCATTATCATTAAGATTTATTTGTTTAGTCTTATAGTACGCCACTTGATTCGTCTTTTGTCATCCGTTTAATCTTTTGCTTTTTTTGGCCAATTTTATTTTCTTCCCATTTCAGTTGCCAAGATTTCAGTCCATCTCTAGTAAAAAAAAGTATAGTTTAACCCATCTTTTAAAACCCAAGAGACTGTATCTGGCCAAAATAAAAAGGAGGTTTCATGCATATAATGATTCAGTTGTTAAGTTGGAGCAAAAGGATCACTGATAAATGGCACTCAGTGTTTATTCACAGGGTTGGGATGTAACGGAATACGAGTATCGGAAATGCATATTCAGAATGCAGAAATGAAGTATCTGTATTCAGTCCAAACTATATTTTGTAAAGGCAATATTCAGAATACAGTTACTTTTTGTGTTTTTAGGAGAATACTTTTAGATTGCCCACTAAATAAAAAAAAATACCATCTTCAAAAGAAACACCATCAATACTTGTTTATTTACTATTTTAGAATGAACATTTAGAAATGTAGCAAACATGCTCATTAGACGAACTCTAAAGAGGACCTCAGTTAACAGCTTCTTTAAAAACTGAAGTTCCTACTAACGCTTGAGTAGACTGATAAGCCAACATAATGATCAGTTATTCATTTGAGCATTACTAAACTCTTTTAAGGGATGATCAAATGAATAATCCCCCCAGTAGTGGACATGTTTGTGAGTGGAAAGTTCTGCTCAGGAGATTATGGGAGCAGCTGTGAACTGAAACTGGCAAGGAGATAAAAGAGTTAAGAATGTTCAGAAATGTATTTCAAGAAACAGAATAATTACATGAAGAAAACTGACAACCAGTAACAGCGAGGAACAGTATGAATTAAAAAAGATTTCCAGTGTGCCTTTCAAGGATTTATTGTTAATGTATTATGAATACATTACTTTTTTATGTGTTGTAATGGAATACATTACTGAGTACATTCGGGACAGTGTATTCAGTATTCAGCCATCAGTATTTACCAATATTTTGCCTAACCTTGGTTATTCCTGCCTCATTCAGTTTATTCGTTTTTCGTTACGGTGCAGTAGCCAAGCAGGTTTCAGTCCTCTGCTGTCACTGTGTGTGTGTTGGATGTGTAATTGAGAAAATGCAATAACAATAAAACGTATTAAGCTCTCAGTGACTTTGAGGATCGTGAAGTGTTTGTGTATCATTGTCATTATCCTGCTCTTTCTTGTGCTCCTTTTCCCTAGTGGTCATAAATTGATGTCTGTTCATTATGATCCTGCAGGCGCAGTCTCTCACTCCTCCAGATTACAGTCTGCGCTGGTCTGGCCTGCTCGTGACCGTGGGAGAGGTGTTGGAGAGGAATATACCCAATGTTAGCCGTACAGACTGGCACCAGGCCTTCACTGGCATGTCCCGCAGACAGATGATCTATAGTGCCGCCAAGGCTCTGGCTGGCACATACAAACTGCGGCTTCCCCCCAGGACGGTATGAGTTCACATAAACGCCCGTCTCCCCTCAAAGACACACAAACGCCCCATCGCCCCTCTGAGTGGCACACCCATCAGCCAACCTGCAATCAGTTCTTGACATAAGAGGATATGTCACGTCCATTTCTAGTACGTTTTTAATCATGTGAATCATTCTAGTGTTCACTGACTGAGGGACAATAAATGTCAAAAGAGAACTTCTAGTTTGTTGCCTAGTGTCATTACAGACAAAAATTTGGTTAATGCTGCTCAAGAAGTCTGTGCAGTTTTGGTCCTTCTTTCACGCATATGTGTAAAAGCAAGTTATAATTTACCAGTCCATATATGTGCTGTGACTTGTGAGACCTTGAAAGGTATCCTAGGTGATTCCTGATTACCACAAGAGGGCTATATTGAGTAAGTATATAGACTTTCTGGGAAAAGAGCACAATGTATTACCACCTTTGGACCAAGAAGAGCCCATTGCACAGTGTAGCATATTGTACTAAAATAACATTGACATCCCAATCTAAGTACCAGAAAGAGGATACTGGTAGCAGTTATTAGTATTCCATACCCTGTTATAATATACAAGATTATTTATAGCTTATTATAGATTCAGTACTGAAGAAGGACTGATGTAATTTACAGAAAATAAAAGGAATGTGTTGCAGGATTTGTTTAATAGTTTCATAGCTGTTGTAAAAGAATGATTTCATGTCCTCAATTACTGATTTTGATCCTACGTTGATGTGTGTCATGCAGACTATTTATAGCCTATTCTGCTGCGTGGGCCTTTGTTAGTACAGACTATTAATCACACCACGTGTCAGGAATATCCAACAGTCAAATAATGAGCCCAAGACACTTTGGAGTTGAGTGGTTTTATGTCTGTTAGACAAGTTCTTAAAGGAAGCTTTCACAAGAAAACAAGAAAATTTGTTTTTGGACATTGAGCAAAGCGCTGGATGAAATGGAGATAATTAGATTTATTTCACTCTCCCAGGCCTTCACATGTACGAGCATTTTTAAGTGTTAATCATAATATTAATGATGTTGCTTTTATATATGCGTGAAAGTTGGGCTGAATCTGTATTAGTCTACACATTTTTGAACTGGTTCGTAGCATAAGTAGATCTTCAGTGCAGAGGCAAAATCCCTCAGGGAGAGAAGAGGGCTGGCTACCCCTATGAAATATTGATGACCGTTAACATTTGTAAAAGTTTATATTGAGTCCTTGTCACACAGTCTGTCCCCTTGTACATGGTCGCTTGATTTTTATTCAAGATTGTTTTTACCAATGTTTATAAACACGTTGTGCTGTGTAAATAGAGTAAATATGTGGTATTCTGTTACCAAAGGACATGTATACAGCCTCAGTGCAAGAGCTTTTGGTGGATGAGAACTTCTTTCTTTTTGCTTTTTCTTTTTTTGTTTTTTTTTGTTTTTTAACAAATACTTCGGGAATTTTTGTGTTGCTACTTGCCAAATTTCTTGATACGGTTGTTGTTGTTCATAGCATTATCAAACTTGACTAGGATCGCCGTATTCTAGCTTGAAGAGTGCATAATCTAATATTTGCACAAATTGTAAGCCTTAAAGTTTAATATCTTTATTAGTACTGTTTTACATTTCAAGGTATCGTTGGACAGCATTTAATAACTTGGAAATGGAATTTGTTGAACTGATCATTTGGATCAGTGTTATGATGTCACCTTATATTAAAATGTCGTCGCTGTCAGAACAAAACCTGAATGATAACTTCTTGAAGAATGAAAAATATTTAATGGAAGTTATTGTAAGAAGATTATTTCAAGTAATGTTGGACCATTGCTGTTGGTCTGTTTCTCCAGATATTTTAACATGATCTAAAGGGCCACCATAGTTTTCAAATTACTTTAAGACAAAAATGATACAAGGTTTTGTCCTGAGAGTGACAGTATCTAATGATCTAACGTAGTTGGGAATCTTACGTTAATGTACTCAATTTTTTGTGTTAGCTGCATCAAATGTCATCTCAGTGTGTTTTATTTATAGTCCCTCTCCGTTAATGAAAGAGCTAAACTAAATGAACTTTAAACTTGCCGATTCTGCAGATGTTGTCACTACCCAGAAAAACGGTCAACACATTTTCACTGTAAACATTATTCGAAGATAATGTTCCAGTATTACCTTGTGTATAAAATTCAACTCAGTAATCAAACTGTTGAAGCTCATCTGCTTCTATTGATATGAAGGGTTTTTCCTCTCACTCTCTCTGTCAAGTGATGCAACTTATGTAAGCCCAAAGTCCAAAACCTATCTCAGAGTGATACAGAACCATAGGAAAACCAGAAAACTGTGCATGACCTCTGGGAATATTGAAATACAACAGCGGCGAGTTTGTTGAGATGTGAGATGTGTAGTGCTGTAATGTTTTGTGTCAAGGCCAAAATCACTGTCAGGCATGGACAGCAAGATGCGTGATGTAAATGAAGAGATTTGAGAAGATGTAGCATTGTCTCAGAGCATCATAGATGGAAAAACAGCAACATACCTGCCTTTAACATAATGTAATGTGTTTGTATTTCTAAAACAGATAATGGACGTTTGTTCTTAGACGTCCATGGAATTGTACTTCCTAAAGGTGCCTTCTGCCAGCAGAAGAGTAAAGACCTTTTTGGTAAACCTGTCTTGTGTAGTCTATTTTTTGCTTTTTGTGTTGGATTTATTTATTTATTTTTTTTGGTTGAAAGTTTTATGTTTTTAATGAGCACATTCCTCTCAGTGAAGAAATAATAAAATATAAACACCTATTCTGCCCTGCGATGGACTGGCGACCTGTCCAGGGTGTATCCTGCCTTCCGCCCAATGATAGCTGGGATAGGCTCCAGCACCCCACCGCGACCCAGAAGGATAAGCGGTTTAGATGATGTATGTTTGTATGTATGTATGTATTCTGCAACAAGTCAGGCTAAACAAATCCCTGTCATCCAGATGAGCTCATTTAGCTAATACAAGAGCCCTGATGCTTTGGAAATTATATTTATCATTTAATCTGTTGATTATCTCTTCGTATGATGCCACCAGTTTTGGGTAGTAATAGACAATATGCAACCTAAATTACATACTCTGATAGAATAGGATACCTTTAAAAATATTCAAGGTCAGATTGCAGTTACTTCAGAATTACTATTATTAAAGATTCAATTTTTGATAAGGTGGCTTCAATAAATTAGTCTATTCTTAGTTTATTGATTGTGCCCAAAAACTGCTTAATAGCTGTGTCATGATGAATGATTACTTGTGAGAAAGAAGGACGGCAGGGGGATATTAGCGTTATATCTTAAGATGATTTGAACTTTATGAAACCAAAAAACATGAAATTTGAGGAATACTTAAAGCAGGGGTGTCCAATCTTAGCCACAAAGGGCTGGTGTGGCTACAGGTTTTCAGTCCAAACAAGCTAGAGCACACCTGACTCCACTTAAGGTGACCTCCTGCTTTGTTGGAGTGAAAACCTGCAACCACACTAGCCCTCTGCGGATAAGATTGGACACCCCTGACCTAAAGCTTTTTCCTCTGGAGTGATGCGCAGTAAGCAGAGTTCAGGGCATTGTTAACTTGAGTTTCCAACAGTACCACTAAAGCTGGTCACTTCAGACCACAGTGTCATGGTACAACAATATAATATGAAATAGTGCCTTTTTCACTTTCACAGCATATATCTGAAGGCCTGATAATTATTTTTCTAAAATATTCACAGCGTATCACAAACATTTCTTTGGTCATTTTCTAACACCATTTGAAAATTCCAGCTGTCTGTTAAATTGCATGAACTTTTGATGATGAATGGACCAATCAAAATGGTCCAAAATTACTTAACATCTGATTACATTGATGTACATTACAGTAAGGATTTTTTTTTACTTCCATTTAAGAGATATGAAGGACAAAATGCATGATGTAGTTCACTGTTGCAGTTTAAAATTGAGTCACATTGACAACTGCACAGCAGTCTGCAAGGTGAGATACTGCAGCTGAACAGGACAAATATGGGCTCCGGAGATACAATTAGCCTACAATACTCTGCTGGGAGATACTCTTTGTATGTCAGATAGATGGCCCTCATCATGAACTGTGAAGTCTGCCATTAAGAATTCAGTCCCTCTCCTCTTGATCTCCCTCCAGGGCCTGGCCTCAATAACAAGCAACTCTGAGAGAGAAGGTGGAAGGAGTTCGATCTCATCTAATGAATTCTACCGGCCCATGTGTTAATCTGATGTATTCCACCAATTAGATGTAATTGGAGAGCCGAACACTGGAAACGCAGGTTTCTTATGTATTCAGCATTAGCGCAGAGTCAAGTAATAGGACGTTTCTTCCCTGGAACTGAAATAACGAGTGAAGGCGCAGTGGCCAGGAGAACTAAGGGGATTGTTGGAGGAACTGTTTTAGAAGTCCATGCAGTCTTGAAATAAGGGTAGAACTGTGTGACCTAGCTGGGAGCAGATAAAATAAGAGGCCAACAGAATTAGCATGATTTGCTATGGGCCGTCATGTAGCAGCTGTACAGAAACACCTGTTTTGTTGGTGCACATTGTAGGTGTACAGTTAGCAACTAAAGCTCATCTTTTTCCATGCGTAATATATGTTAGTCATCCTCTAGATCCTTCATTCGTGGTCAGTTTCTGTTGGCTGGGTAGTTTTGTTTGGTGAACTATACTCAAACGAGCCTGATATACTCTCACCTACACCACACCCTAACATCCCACCACCATGTCAGTGTCAATGCTGTGTTGGGAATGGTCCTCCACCCAGGTAATATCTGGTCAGAGGTGATCCTATGGTGGTTCCTTTCCACTGATAAATGAGGTAATGGGTCACTGACAAAATGTTCATAGCAACGCATGGACTACACTGAAAAACTGCGCATGCAAAGTGTACTCACACGGTAGGTGTTTCTGATAAAATGGCCGAGTAGGTGTACCTAATAAACTGGGAAATTAAGTATATATTCAGTTAATGCTTATTTGAGAAGCTAATCGAAGTCTGTGTAAATATTCCACAGCCTGACTGCAGTCTTATACAGTGCCATGCAAAAGTCACCAACTACCCTTCATTTAATTAATTTCCAGTCATTATGATCAATAAGTTATTTATTTTTCATGACTTATTTATTGGGAGATTAGATGTGAGACTGAAAAAGGAAGTGGAAAGTCAAAGGAAAATAAACAACAGGAGATTCCAAAACTATAATTCAAAATCAAATACAAACAAAATGAGACCACTAAAAACAGTGCAAGACCTGGTAGACCCCCAAAAACTGTCACCATCAGACAAAGAGCACTTGTTTCTGTCCATCCTTCCACTGTGAGAAGACAACTCAACGCTATGGGACTGAAAGGATGTGCAGCTGTCAAGAAGCCCTTACTGAGAAAAGGAAACAGATAAAAAGATCAAACAAAGAAGCTGTTGCTATTCTCAGAACAATGGACCAACCATTCCAGAGTCTAGACCTCAAAACCACTGAATGTGTTTGGGATTAACTGGGAGAAGCAGAAAATACTGAACTTTAGAAGAAATCAAACATTTCTTTGAAAAACTGAAAGCAAGCTTTCCAAAAAGAATGAAAGCCATAATAAAAACAAAAGCTGGACATACTAAATACTGGAAATTGCATATAAAATTGAGCTTTCTAGGCTTAAGTTTAATGTTATGTTAAATATACCGTCACTGATAACCTAACAGGTGAAGGAAAAAACATTCTTAACATGTAATGAAAGTTAATAGAACAATTTTTTTCCACAGGTAATTTTGGACCATTTCTATTGACCTGTTCAATGTGAGATTTTAACGCAATGCATAACTGGACGTTTCATGTTATGCAAAAAACAACAAAAACAGAAATATACAATTTCTGAACAATAGTGACTAGATGTCTTCTGCTTTCTTTCTGATGCTGAAAAACTCAAAAACTTGACTGGAAATAAAATAAAAGAAGGGCGGTCCCTTTAAATCTAGAAAATGTCAGAATGACCTAGGCCCAGTAATTGGTTTCAGATTGAGAAGGAGTCTAGTCTTGCATGGCGGAGTGGAAAGATTGCTAGATTATTGTTTCTGCCGAGAGAAGCAACATGTCAGATCTACAGATCCGTACGAGAGACTCAACCCGGCAACTGCACCCATGCAATTATTCCTGATTGACTTTTCAAAACCCTTTTCTTCCAGAATAATTCATTGTTACCAAATGGATTGCCTGATGACTTCCTCCATGAGACTTTAATGTGCTTGTGCCTCAGTTCACAGGGATTCTTTGATCATGTGAGCCACAGGCTGTGACCAAAATGTCTGGCAGTGCAACTAAAAATATAAATTGGTGAGTCATTTTTTATAAATTGAGGAGATATAATAGTTGTAGTTTATGAATAGAGGATGGCCCTGACAAGCTCAGGCCTGGGTTGAATGTGAACCAGGTTCCCTGCAGGAGGTAGGATTTTATATTCGAAGAGCATTGAGCGCTCATAACAATTTGCTTGGAATCAATGCATGTGAGTGACATTCATAGTCATAGGGCCCGTCAGCAGACCCCAAGTTTCATTACACACTTCTATAATCTAAGAATAGCTCGATCAGTTTGCATTGACGTCCCTGTAATTACTGAATAATAAGCCTTAGTATGTAATAAGCCTGGGATTTTAAGGGGTTAAGTCATTCCTCAAAATGTTTGTTGGATTTAGGTCAGAGATCTAAGTGGGACACTCCAGGATATCCACCCTTTTTGTTCCCTATCCTCAGCCGTGTAGTTCTGGTTTCTTGCAATGCTGATACAGAGAGCATGCTCCAGCTTTCTTGCAGGGGAGCTGTGTTTTTTTTTTTCTTAATTAATTTTGTTCTCTGGTTCTTGGTGATGATAAATGTCCTAATAGCACAGCACTGTCACAAGCACGCCTCACCATGGGGATGGTGCTGGTTTTGGTTTCATGCTTACTGTTCTGCATTTAGGCCAAACACTTCCATTACAGTCCCCTCAGACCAAAACAGCTTTTGGCCACCTGTCCAATTTATTTTCTTAATGTTCTGCATACTTTCCTAGATTAGGAGAACCTATTTTGGCTGGACCCTGAATGTAGCCTGTGGGGAACAAAGTCACAAATATTTCATGTGACGTGTGTGAAATGCATGTGTTTACAAGTAATCATGTTTTCACTCTTGATAACACAATTTTAACATGTGAAGTACATAAGAACCACATGTGTTTTTATAAAGGGAGAGAACTCTAATAATTCGAGCTGAAAATCTGGGCTCTGTCTACTTCTTGCCTGAATGCCAGGCCCCCTTTGAAGAACAGAGATAGGACTGAGGAACAGGGAGAAGATGTGGATTTGGTGGGCTGCAAAACATTGCTACAAGAACCTTGAGTGATGGATATTTATAGGAAGCTGGATAGTACGGAGAAGGAGCGTCAAGCATGGACTTCCTCTGAAACGTTAATGCTTTTTTAACTCTATTAAAAGGGAGTGACACCTATTTCTCAATAGTTGAGATTTAAACAAAGTCATTAAGAGTAGTTTAATGTGAAATGGTTCATTGTAGAGAAATTTACAGACTTAGATTTCTTTACACAGTTGGTGTAGGAGCCAGGGCTCACCATGTCTGCAGCACAAATATACCCAATTACTTTAGTA